GAAGTTAATTGAAATAATAAATAAATAGCTGAATGTAAATACATTTTGACGAATTACAAAGTGACGTTCAGTTGTTGCTCCTGTTGTTGTGAAAACAAACACATTTGTTTCATAATTGACATACAATGAGTGTAATTGTGCTTCGTAACTCATAGTTGAGCTACATGAAAGTATATTTAGACAACAGTATTTATATTCAGAGCTCTCCAGTGCTTTCCAAAAATGAATGTGAAAACAGCGAGGATAACTATGTGTTGAAGATGAACCTCGTCATAGTTTTTCTTTAGAGATATAAGTGTTTGGAGCAAAGCCGCTGCTCGTGCTAATCCTGGAACCTGGAGTCCGTCTGAGGAAACATGCTCAACAAATTCTATCAAACATTTTAAACATTATTAAACATCAGCCCTAAAGTTTAGTCTTTCTACAGTACATGACATTCCAGCGAAGTCTATTAATTTGATCAAAGTAGCATTAAAAGCTTAAAAGCTGTAATCGCATATAAAATGTCATTTTATTTGCGATTACAGAATAGTTACAATTTAAACTCACATGTGCTGAATTATAATTGTTTTTTCAGTGTTATCCAAGTAATGATCCGCCCTTATCGCTAACATCCATCTATTTTATTATTTTATTTATATTTGCAAGCAACAGGTAAAAAAAGGCTTTATCCATCCCATCCCCACCCAACCAAACTCATACATTCACTCATTCGCACTCACATTCTCACAACTAATCTGTCCAACAATGATTTTAGTATTTTATTAATTGATTTTGTATTTAATGTTTGCTGTGACAAGTTTATTTACGACGCGTCAAAGAACTGAGCATGAATTAAACTGCATGGAACATTTCATCATTGCAGCTCGCTCAACAACAAACGCACAAGTGGCACAACACACTATAAATGTGACCCTTTTTCACTTCCTGCTGTATTACCAGTGTCCTTTTCAATGCTAAAGATAATCTATTCACTCTGTGTCGCCAGATACTTTACAACGGTGAAATACGATATTATCCAAATATTTCCTGCTGACAGGGCACCCACAGCGTATGGCTCTTTTAGCACGAGCCCAGTCAGTGATGTCACAGTGAGTGCTTTCTTTGGCCCACAAGCACACACTCACACGCACACACACACATAGACATACACACTCGCACACGCACACACACACATAGACATATACACACACACAGACACACACACACACACACACACTATTTAAATCTCCACTGGATCACTGGGTAACTCACTGTGGTGGCTGACGAGATGTTTTTGTCACAGAATTCATAGCAACACGACGGCAACAAAACAACAGACAGTTTAAATCTCTAGTATTATTTGAGCGGAAATATAAACACCCATATTTCAATCTATTGCCTACATCTTTTATACAGGACTGTAATATTTTTCATTTCATTTCATTTTTTTCATTTCATTTTCAACCCCTTTGTCCATTTCTGGGTCGGGGGGGTGGCAATGAGAGCTGCCACCCAACGCTCATAGCACCAGTCCCTCGCTGATCTTCTGCAGGGGGTGAGTCCACAGGAAGATGGCTGCTCCGTCAATTGTGAAACAGCCTTGATCTTTCATATTTTCAATACTTTAATTTTTTGAGCCATACAAAATTATAACATATAGCAGAAAGCACTGTACCCACACACAAGGGCAACAAGAGAATTAAGAACAAAACTAAACTAAACATTTCAGGGAGGATCTGTACAACACATAGATATATATATGTAATACTGGACTCAGACCTAAATTTCAATAGCCACATAAAATCAATAACATCAACAGCTTTTTACCATCTGAAGAACATTGCCAAAGTTAGAAATATAGTGTCCAGGGCAGACTTGGAGATTCTTGTCCATGCATTTGTCTCCAGCAGGCTAGACTACTGCAATGGCCTGCTCACAGGTCTGTCCAAACAGACCTGTAAGCAGCTGCAGTACATCCAAAATGCAGCAGCTAGAGTCCTGACAGGAACCAGGAAGTATGACCTTATTAGTCCGGTCCTCAGGTCTCTGCACTGGCTTCCTGTGGCTCAAAGAATAGATTTTAAAACAGCTCTGCTTGTGTACAAGTCTCTCCATGGCCTTGCACCAGAATACATTAGTGACATGTTGGTGTCATATGAACCAGCCCGGACTCTGAGGAGCACAGGGACTGGCCTCCTGCTGGTGCCCAGAGTGAGAACCAAACATGGGGAGGCTGCGTTTCAGATCCATGCAGCTAAGATCTGGAACAATCTCCCTGAAAATGTGAGGGAGGCGTCTACTCTGTCAATGTTCAAATCCAGGTTAAAGACTGTTCTGTTTGCCTGTGCATACAACTGAAGGATTTTATCTCCATTTCTAATGCACTGCTGTCATTTATTTATTTATTTTTTTAAATTTCTTGTGTAATTTTGAAAGTTTTAATGGTTTTATTCTTTTGTGTGATTTTAATGTTTTAATTGTGTTTTAATCTTTTGTGTGATTTTAATGTTTTAATTGTGTTTTAATCTTTTGTGTGATTTTAATGTTTTAATTGTGATTCTGGTGTTTGTTTTATGTGATTTGTGATGTGGACTGTGAAGCGCTTTGTGTTGCCCTGTGTATGAAAGGCGCTCTACAAATAAACTTTGATTGATTGATTGATATATTTTTTAGATATTGGCTAAAATATCATATTGTAAAAATCATATTGTTTTTGCTTGTTCTTATTGAGACAATAGAAACCAGCCACTTGTGGATCCGCTGTTCAATAACCAACTTATCATAACATTTGGTTTCATTTATAGATTATTTGTACTGCTTGGTCCAACCACATGAGTTGCATTCTTCAAGGTGTTAGTGATCCTATTAGATTAGTAAATGCACAGATAATCCATGTAGGCTATGTATTGTAATATGGGTGATATTGCTTTAGCTTTGTTTTAAATATTTCAATCATTTATTTAGTTTAAAATTCAGGATCATCTCTGAAACATGGATAGTACCATAACAGTGCCATAACAGCACCATAACAGTACCATAACAGTACCATAACAGTACCATAACAGTACCATAACAGTACCATAACAGTACCATAACAGTACCATAACAGTACCATAACAGCACCATAACAGTACCATAACAGCACCATAACAGCACCATAACAGCACCATAACAGTACCATAACAGTACCATAACAGTACCATAACAGTGCCATAACAGTGCCATAACAGTGCCATAACCGAAGCAAAGGAGCACTTTTTTATTTAGCCAAATGATGATGTATTTTATTTCCACAATATTGTTTGAACAATGTGAAATAGTTTTTTTTTCATTATTGATCCCTCAATCAATTACATGTGACTGTACCGAAAATGCAAATGTGTGACACTTTATTTGTTTAATTTGTTTTTTATTTTATTTATTTTTTATTTATTTGTCTCTAATTTTTTTTTTTTTTTTTTTTTGGTATCGTTTTCTTTTTTTCATACACATTGCCCCAACAGAAAGTAAAATATTGTGAATAAATCAGACCACAAAAACGTTCATATATTTTGCATTCCGGGTGATTGGCTGAGTGAAGGTGGTCCTCTCTTTTTCTCTTTTCAGTCTTGAAAAAGCTCATCTAAAGATGTGACAGAGGCCAAAAATAGATTAATGTGAAAACCAGAGATGGAACCAAACTGAGCCAAAAACTGGTTTGATGGATTTTAAACATTATTTAACATATTTGTACTCGTGCATGCAAAGTTACGTGCCCCAGCTTTAATAGTTTTCCAAATCCACAAGTGTAGCAATGGTTCTTATCATGATAGGAATTACATTTTATATGGTAGAAGTTGCATTTCTATTGAATCATTCAAAAGTTTGGTCTCATAAACTTTCTTTGAGTGACAGATTCTGAATAGGAGAGTCTGGACCTTCTCGCGTTTCTCAGAGTCCGTCTCACGCGCAAACACGAACCAAGCGCCTTGTACTGTAGATGGGGCTGCGGCCGGATTATGGTCTGGTGACGGAATCTTTGTGCCTTTTAATCAGTCTTGACCTCACACATGGTCCACGGCTCGCTCCCACACAATCTGCACAAACAATCCTTCATATTAATCTATAATCACTCAAGCCCACAGTCTTAGTCCTGCTTAGGATCAACTGGACTAAACAAAGGGACTTTCTCTGCACGGCCATGATGCAACAGCAGTAAGGAAGTACAGAGGTGGAGATCCAGACTACGCAGGAATTAATGGATTAAAATACTTTCAAGACTATTTATAACCATGTTTCTATATACTGGTCCTATTTATCGCCACACTATACCAGGAAGAACAACAGGACCACAAGCTTGAACCCTATTGCACAAAGTAAAATGTTGTGAACTATTCAGACCGCAAATGGCCGTCTTTATTCAATCAATCCATTAACTTTTATTTGTAGAGTGCTTTTTTTTACACAAGGCAACAACAAAGCATACAATTAAAATCCTACAGGGCACTAAAAACAAACATTAGGATCACAAGAAATACTAAAAACATAAAAAAATCACACAAGTAATTTAAAACATTAAAATCACACATGGGATTAAGTTAAGTTTATTAAGGAAAACCCCTTGAGATGAATCATCTCATTTTCGAGGGGGTCCTAAACATAAATACAAACATTTACAACACAGATACACATGAGGAAAGTTAATTAAACACACACAAAAACAAAAACAAAACAACAAAAATGAAACAAAACAAATGCTCCTTCGCACCCCACTCCTCCCCTCTGCTGAGTGGCATAAACAAGGAGTTTCAAGGAACCTAAATAATTCAAACTTAATGATTAAATTCATCAATGGCCACAGTGCTTCTCTCTTTTTCACTCTAAAAATGGTATTTAAAGATGTGACAGAGGCTAAAAATACATGCACGTGCAGAGGAGTGATAAAACCAGCCAGCCTGCTTTAAATCTAATTCATGAGATCATGTGAAATGTATACATGCACTATAATAATCAAATCTTCTTTCTCTCTGTCTCTCCAGAAGACGAGCCGGTGGTTTTTGGCACCAACTCTCTGCAGAGGCGTAAGAAGGGCCTGGGTCTGACTGGACTCAGGACCACGGGCTCAGGCTCCACCAGAAGCAAACAGGCCCTGCTCATCGGAATGCCCCAGAACTTCCGACAGATCTCCTCCATTATCGACGTGGACATCCTGCCTGAGACGCACCGGCGCGTTCGACTGCACAAACACGGCACCCACAAACCACTGGGCTTCTACATCCGGGACGGGGTCAGCGTCCGGGTCACTCCGCAGGGGGTGGAGAAGGTCAGACCAGATGTGATATCAAATGACACGAGCTTTTTGTTGTATCACTGTTACGTCCAGCTCATACTTACGGATACTGCAGGTTCCCGCACTTACACAAGAGTTACAGTTGTGCTTGAAAGGTTACACACCAAGGTAGAAATGAGTCTACCTTCATAAGTTCAAACATTTCTTCCCATACATCATAACAAGACACATTTTATTTTATTTTATCCTTTTTCCCCCACCATGCTCTCCTTGTGCCAAAAAACACTGTCACATACATAGAATGGAGAGGAAGTCACAATACACATATGATATACCTACAATACAGGGACATGGATACATTACAAGTTGTTTAGTGCAGCTATGGCTTAAAGCTACACAGTATTGGAGGATTTTCCCAAATTGTAGGAAGGAACCACCCTCTCCACTCTTTGAACAAACCTCTGGTCTTATTTGACTGCACGTATCACCAGAACGATTGAAAATTAGGAGGACCAATAGTTTTGATGATCCACCTGGAAGTTTTGTCTCTTAAAGGTACGGAAGAGTTGTGTACCTTTTTTAAGGGAAACAAACTCTTGCTAGCCAAAATAGTTAAACTTTGAAAGCAGAAACATGTTTGAGAGGGGAGGGATAAAGTGCTAGACTTTGAATATGTCCACAGCACAGGTTCTAATCAAGTCATCACACATTGATGTTCTCCTGATAGAACACATTTTTTCCTTCAATAAATGGTTTCACACAACTGCTAACGATTAGTAGAGGAAAAGTGTTCATAACCTGACCGGCACAGTGGCTGAGTAGATAGCACTCTCGTTTCCCAGCAAGAAGGTCCTGGGTTCGAATCCCGGTCGGAACAGGGCCTTTCTGAGTGGAGTTTGCATGTTCTCCTCGTGTCTGCGTAGATTTCTCCTGGGTGCTCCGGTTTCCTCCACCACCAAAACATGCACAATAGGTATGAATGTAATGAGTGAGTGAATGGATGGTGTTGGTGGGGCTTTAATGCACCTGTGTGTTCGGCAACTCGCTTCTGTCATCACCGTGTGTGGAGAGAATGAAAAAACTATCTGAACTCTGAACAATTGTAAAGCGCTTTGGGTGACCTTGGTCTGTAAAATGCGCTATATAAATACACCTTACTTACTTACCTACAAAATATGCTCAAAACAATGACATCTCTTCAAGAACACTTGTACTATAAACTGCAGTAGTTAAAGAATAGCAGATGTGGTTGATTTCTTGAGAACCGGCTGGAAAGGGAGGTTCAAAAATGTGATATATCAGCTGATCTCTGCTTGTGATTGCGCCCTCTTGTTCAACCATTTCATTCATCTTTTGCAAAGTTATAGATTGCAGCCATCATAAATCACAAAGCAGACCACTCACAGGGCCTTAGCCAAAGATGGAAGAATATTCTCTGTAGGCCTAACAATATTTCTCTGGGGTTTGGCAGGTCCCAGGGGTGTTCATCTCCCGTTTGGTGAGGGGCGGGCTGGCTGAGAGCACGGGACTGCTGGGAGTCAATGATGAAATCTTAGAGGTCAACGGCATCGATGTAGCAGGAAAATCACTGGACCAGGTAATGACTGCTTTGTATGCATCTCCTCCGTGTTCCAGCACCACTAGGAATCTATTAGCATTAGCATTAGCATCACATGGGGCATTACACGACAACAGACCTTTTCTACTATGACAGATAATTGCACAGAGAGAGAGACCAGAGAGAGAGGGAGACCAGAGAGAGAGGGAGACCAGAGAGAGAGGGAGACCAGAGAGAGAGGGAGACCAGAGCGAGAGGGAGACCAGAGAGAGAGAGTGGGAACAGAGAGAGAGTGAGACCAGAGAGAGAGTGAGACCAGAGAGAGAGGGAGACCAGAGAGAGAGGGAGACCAGAGAGAGAGGGAGACCAGAGAGAGAGGGAGACCAGAGCGAGAGGGAGACCAGAGCGAGAGGGAGACCAGAGCGAGAGGGAGACCAGAGCGAGAGGGAGACCAGAGCGAGAGGGAGACCAGAGAGAGAGAGTGAGAACAGAGAGAGAGTGAGACCAGAGAGAGAGTGAGACCAGAGAAAGAGTGAGACCAGAGAGAGAGTGAGACCAGAGAGAGAGTGAAACCAGAGAGAGAGTGAGACCAGAGAGAGAGTGAGACCAGAGAGAGAGTGAGACCAGAGAGAGAGTGAGACCAGAGAGAGAGTGAGACCAGGAGAGAGAGTGAGACCAGAGAGAGAGTGAGACCAGAGAGAGAGTGAGACCAGAGAGAGTGAGACCAGAGAGAGAGTGAGACCAGAGAGAGAGTGAGACCAGAGAGAGAGTGAGACCAGAGACAGAGTGAGACCAGAGAGAGAGTGAGACCAGAGAGAGAGGGAGACCAGAGAGAGAGGGAGACCAGAGAGAGAGGGAGACCAAGAGGGAGACAGAGGAGGGAGACCAGAGAGAGAGGGAGACCAGAGAGAGAGGAGACCAGAGAGAGAGGAGACCAGAGAGAGAGTGAGACCAGAGAGAGAGTGAGACCAGAGAGAGAGTGAGACCAGAGAGAGAGTGAGACCAGAGAGAGAGTGAGACCAGAGAGAGAGTGAGACCAGAGAGAGAGTGAGACCAGAGAGAGAGTGAGACCAGAGAGAGAGTGAGACCAGAGAGAGAGAGAGTGAGACCAGAGAGAGAGTGAGACCAGAGAGAGAGTGAGACCAGAGAGAGAGGGAGACCAGAGAGAGAGGGAGACCAGAGAGAGAGGGAGACCAGAGAGAGAGGGAGACCAGAGAGAGAGAGTGAGACCAGAGAGAGAGTGAGACCAGAGAGAGAGTGAGACCAGAGAGAGTGTGAGAGAGAGTGTGAGACCAGAGAGAGTGAGACCAGAGAGAGAGTGAGACCAGAGAGAGAGTGAGACCAGAGAGAGAGGGAGACCAGAGAGAGTGTGAGACCAGAGAGAGTGTGAGAGAGAGTGTGAGACCAGAGAGAGAGAGTGAGACCAGAGAGAGAGAGTGAGACCGAGAGAGAGTGAGGGAGACCAGAGAGAGAGGGAGACCAGAGAGAGAGGGAGACCAGAGAGAGAGGGAGACCAGAGAGAGGGAGACCAGAGAGAGAGGGAGACCAGAGAGAGAGGGAGACCAGAGAGAGTGTGAGACCAGAGAGAGTGTGAGAGAGAGTGTGAGACCAGAGAGAGAGAGTGAGACCAGAGAGAGAGAGTGAGACAGAGAGAGAGTGAGGGAGACCAGAGAGAGAGGGAGACCAGAGAGAGAGGGAGACCAGAGAGAGAGGGAGACCAGAGAGAGACCAGAGAGAGAGGGAGACCAGAGAGAGAGGGAGACCAGAGAGAGAGTGAGACCAGAGAGAGTGAGACCAGAGAGAGAGTGAGACCAGAGAGAGAGTGAGACCAGAGACAGAGTGAGACCAGAGAGAGAGTGAGACCAGAGAGAGAGTGAGACCAGAGAGAGAGGGAGACCAGAGAGAGAGGGAGACCAGAGGGAGACCAGAGAGAGAGGGAGACCAGAGAGAGAGGGAGACCAGAGAGAGAGGGAGACCAGAGAGAGAGTGAGACCAGAGAGAGAGTGAGACCAGAGAGAGAGTGAGACCAGAGAGAGAGTGAGACCAGAGAGAGAGTGAGACCAGAGAGAGAGTGAGACCAGAGAGAGAGTGAGACCAGAGAGAGAGTGAGACCAGAGAGAGAGTGAGACCAGAGAGAGAGTGAGACCAGAGAGAGAGTGAGACCAGAGAGAGAGTGAGACCAGAGAGAGAGTGAGACCAGAGAGAGAGTGAGACCAGAGAGAGAGTGAGACCAGAGAGAGAGTGAGACCAGAGAGAGAGTGAGACCAGAGAGAGAGTGAGACCAGAGAGAGAGTGAGACCAGAGAGAGAGGAGAGACCAGAGAGAGAGTGAGACCAGAGAGAGAGTGAGACCAGAGAGAGAGTGAGACCAGAGACAGAGTGAGACCAGAGAGAGAGTGAGACCAGAGAGAGAGAGAGTGAGACCAGAGAGAGAGTGAGACCAGAGAGAGAGGGAGACCAGAGAGAGGGAGGGAGACAGAGAGAGGAGACCAGAGAGAGAGGGAGACCAGAGAGAGAGGGAGACCAGAGAGAGGAACCAGAGAGAGAGTGAGACCAGAGAGAGAGTGAGACCGAGAGAGAGAGGAGAGACCAGAGAGAGAGTGAGACCAGAGAGAGAGTGAGACCAAGAGAGAGAGAGAGACCAGAGAGAGAGTGAGACCAGAGAGAGAGTGAGACCAGAGAGAGAGTGAGACCAGAGAGAGAGGGAGACCAGAGAGAGAGGGAGACCAGAGAGAGAGGGAGACCAGAGAGAGAGAGTGAGACCAGAGAGAGAGTGAGACCAGAGAGAGAGTGAGACCAGAGAGAGAGTGAGACCAGAGAGAGTGAGACCAGAGAGAGAGTGAGACCAGAGAGAGAGTGAGACCAGAGAGAGAGGGAGACCAGAGAGAGTGTGAGACCAGAGAGAGTGTGAGAGAGAGTGTGAGACCAGAAGAGAGAGGGAGACCAGAGAGAGACCAGAGAGAGAGGGAGACCAGAGAGAGAGGGAGACCAGAGAGAGAGTGAGACCAGAGAGAGTGAGACCAGAGAGAGAGTGAGACCAGAGAGAGAGTGAGACCAGAGACAGAGTGAGACCAGAGAGAGAGTGAGACCAGAGAGAGAGTGAGACCAGAGAGAGAGGGAGACCAGAGAGAGAGGGAGACCAGAGGGAGACCAGAGAGAGAGGGAGACCAGAGAGAGAGGGAGACCAGAGAGAGAGTGAGACCAGAGAGAGAGTGAGACCAGAGAGAGAGTGAGACCAGAGAGAGAGTGAGACCAGAGAGAGAGTGAGACCAGAGAGAGAGTGAGACCAGAGAGAGAGTGAGACCAGAGAGAGAGTGAGACCAGAGAGAGAGTGAGACCAGAGAGAGAGTGAGACCAGAGAGAGAGTGAGACCAGAGAGAGAGTGAGACCAGAGAGAGAGTGAGACCAGAGAGAGAGTGAGACCAGAGAGAGTGAGACCAGAGAGAGAGTGAGACCAGAGAGAGAGTGAGACCAGAGACAGAGTGAGACCAGAGAGAGAGTGAGACCAGAGAGAGAGTGAGACCAGAGAGAGAGTGAGACCAGAGAGAGAGTGAGACCAGAGAGAGAGGGAGACCAGAGGGAGACCAGAGAGAGAGGGAGACCAGAGAGAGAGGGAGACCAGAGAGAGAGGGAGACAGAGAGAGAGTGAGACCAGAGAGAGAGTGAGACCAGAGAGAGAGTGAGACCAGAGAGAGAGTGAGACCAGAGAGAGAGTGAGACCAGAGAGAGAGTGAGACCAGAGAGAGAGTGAGACCAGAGAGAGAGTGAGACCAGAGAGAGAGTGAGACCAGAGAGAGAGTGAGACCAGAGAGAGAGTGAGACCAGAGAGAGAGTGAGACCAGAGAGAGAGTGAGACCAGAGAGAGAGGGAGACCAGAGAGAGAGGGAGACCAGAGAGAGAGGGAGACCAGAGAGAGAGAGTGAGACCAGAGAGAGAGTGAGACCAGAGAGAGAGTGAGACCAGAGAGAGAGTGAGACCAGAGAGAGAGTGAGACAGAGAGAGTGTGAGACCAGAGAGAGTGAGACCAGAGAGAGAGTGAGACCAGAGAGAGAGTGAGACCAGAGAGAGAGGGAGACCAGAGAGAGTGTGAGACCAGAGAGAGTGTGAGAGAGAGTGTGAGACCAGAGAGAGAGAGTGAGACCAGAGAGAGAGAGTGAGACCAGAGAGAGAGTGAGGGAGACCAGAGAGAGAGGGAGACCAGAGAGAGAGGGAGACCAGAGAGAGAGGGAGACCAGAGAGAGAGGGAGACCAGAGAGAGAGTGAGACCAGAGAGAGAGTGAGACCAGAGAGAGAGTGAGACCAGAGAGAGAGTGAGACCAGAGAGCGAGTGAGACCAGAGAGCGAGTGAGACCAGAGAGCGAGTGAGACCAGAGAGAGAGTGAGACCAGAGAGAGAGTGAGACCAGAGAGAGAGTGAGACCAGAGAGAGAGAGTGAGACCAGAGAGCGAGGGAGACCAGAGAGAGAGGGAGACCAGAGAGAGAGGGAGACCAGAGAGAGAGTGAGTGACCAGAGAGAGAGAGTGAGAACAGAGAGAGAGTGAGACCAGAGAGAGAGTGAGACCAGAGAGAGAGTGAGACCAGAGAGCGAGTGAGACCAGAGAGCGAGTGAGACCAGAGAGAGAGTGAGACCAGAGAGAGAGTGAGACCAGAGAGAGAGTGAGACCAGAGAGAGAGTGAGACCAGAGAGCGAGGGAGACCAGAGAGAGAGGGAGACCAGAGAGAGAGGGAGACCAGAGAGAGAGTGAGACCAGAGAGAGAGAGTGAGAACAGAGAGAGAGAGAGACCAGAGAGAGAGTGAGACCAGAGAGAGAGTGAGACCAGAGAGAGAGGGAGACCAGAGAGAGAGGGAGACCAGAGAGAGAGGGAGACCAGAGAGAGAGGGAGACCAGAGAGAGAGTGAGACCAGAGAGAGAGTGAGACCAGAGAGAGAGTGAGACCAGAGAGAGAGTGAGACCAGAGAGAGAGGGAGACATAAAAGTGAGTGATATTCCCAAGAGACAAACTTAAATTCCTCTTTCTTTGATTTCAGGTAACGGACATGATGGTAGCCAATAGTCACAACCTCATAGTGACGGTGAAGCCGGCGAATCAAAGAAACAACGTGGTCCTTCGCGGCAGCAAGACCTCGATGGGGAACTCTGGCTCCGTGGGCTCTGCTGGATCCGCGGGGTCAGCCCTGTCACATGACTCGCCGAGCCCCGCGTCACAGAGCAACCCCATCACAGCCAGGTACAGGCCCCAGGGCACCCAAACGATGGCAGTAATCTAAGACTCCCACGGATCATAATAAAAATTCTGAAATGTCAATATTGATTTAAAACGATGTCATACACATCAAGTCCATCATAAATTTCAGGTATGGGTTTGAGACTTTCCCTTTATGTCCCCGAACGTCATCACTTCTGTGTTTTTATTTACTTTTTTTAGCAAAATTGTGAGAAATACGTTACACTTTTGTTTCAATTGGGGATCACGTATATGTTTAATTATACATTTATTTTTTTCTGTTCAATTTAAAGTATACATATTTTGTATTTTCCATTGTTCTATCCCAATCTGATCAATCATTATGCATTCATTATTATAGTAAAACATGTATATTGTGTGATACAGTTGTGTACAGTTTATGAATCCAGTGTCTGATGGATTCTGTCTGTTGCAGTAACAGTATCGTGGAAGGAGACAGCGAGGAGGACGATGATGAAGACAGAGACCTCATTTTGGAGAACGACCTGTCGTCCTACCACCCCCAACATGTGCCCAACAGCCACAACCTCAACCTGAGCAGGGACTCTGCCAACGGCCGTCTGAACAATAACGGCGGCGCCCGCGGCCTGCCCCAGAGCATCTCTTTACCCAGCAGCATCGGAGCGTCACTTAGCAACAGTGGCACGCTGTTGACCAACCACAACCAAAGCCCCATGTCAGCCTCCAGCTCCAGTCAGGACATGAGAGAGGACGGCAACATCATCACTTTGTAGCGGTCTGTCCTCGAACACTGTCATCTCGTGGTTTCTGTGGACAAGACTCATTTTAGATTTTTCAAAATAATCACAAGAGCCTTTCTTGTCAAGAATTGCCTTTCTTGTGATGAAACTGAAATTTGTGGAAGAGCACGACGTATCTTTGCCTGAAGATCACTGGGAGGACATTGCCCTGGGCTCACGGTGACTGTGTGCAGATGAGGTCTGTCATTTTGGTCTACAACACAGAACAATATACAAATACTATTAACATGTTGCGTCATGGATTCAGTCCATTTTGGATCCAACAGTGAACAATGTTGAATTGGATCAAACTTTGCAACATACAGTAGCTCTCAAACCCGTAGCTTCCCCCTCATCCTCAGTAGCTGCCTAAAGGATTTAGAAGTGAACAATTATGCGAAATATTGATGTCATTTTAGTCCCGAGAAAGAAGTTCTCTGGAGCAGAAAGTTTGGAGAGACATGCTTTAACAATATATTCACTGCAAAAAGTTATGAAAAATAAGTCAATAATTTCTCAAATTCAGCAAAATGTATCTGAATTTGAGCACATTTTCACTGTCCTGAAACAAGATTTGCCGACGGGACACAAAAATTGATCTTGTTTTAAATAGATACAGGAACTATCTCTTTTAAGAATGAGAAAATAAAACTACAGTTCTTGAAATAAGACTAAACAGCCTTCCCCCATTGGCAAATCTTGTTTTCACACAGTCAGAATGTTCTCAAATTAAATAAAAAACAATTGATTCAAGCTTTTTATTACCTCAAATTCCATCATTTTCCTGCAGCGTCTTACGTGTCCTTATTTATTCATCAAAGACCAAAATGCCAAACAAAATCTTGCCTTCACCGAGAGCCGGTCGAGACGGCGGACATGGGGTCGCGTCTCCAGCTGGACTCCCGCACAAGCCATACAATAATGTGATGTCACCGTTACAGCCGCAGCCCCGCCTCCATCCGACATCATTAACCCTGGCGCTCGAAGGAGAACCCAGGAGCCGCCCGGGGCCTGGACCAGTGCTCCCACATCAATATCATATCAATATCATCATATATGCCTTTATCGACAGGACAAGGACGGACGTGCAAGAGCGAGCCTGAGACGGGAGGTTATCATTTTGCAATAATCATAGAGCAATACGCCATCGGTTTATCGAGTACTTATATTATTTTCATATATTTTAGCCTGAGAATAGACCCTCTAAGAAAGACTCTATGTTTAGACAGGAAATGAATGTTTACAGAAGAAAATGTGATTTATTATGGTTTTATCAGATTAATTTATATCCCTAAAAATGTATCTCGTGCTTTAATTAGAACGGATTATAAAGTTTGAAAATGTTATCACGGTCGGGGCAATATTACCTTAATTCATATCATTATTATTATTGATTGAATATTTAATCTTGATTTTGAAAGTCATTTTAATTTTTTGTTACTCTCATACTTCCAGAGGAGGTTTGTACTGTGAATATGCTCAAATATTAAAGCTGGAATATTTTTATAATTTCAGTATGCATTTTTCAGTTGAATTTAAATGGATGTGTATGTGAAAGCCAGATCCCCTCAGACCTCTGGAGCTAAGCAGGGCAGGGCCTGGTTAGTACTGTGATGGGAGACCTCTGGGACTATCAGGTGCCACAGTGGGGCGGCTACTGCTGTAAAGTGCCAAACTGTTGTTGGGTCCTTAGGCAAGACACTTCACCCACATTGCCTAGAATGAGTCTGGTGTGTGTGTGTGTGTGTGTGTGTGTGTGTGTGTGTGTGTGTGAAAGGTTGGTGGAGGTCGGAGGGGCTGATGGCACATACTGGTTGCCTTGCTTCTGTCAGTGTGGCCCAGGGCAGGTATGGCTACAGCAGTTGTTAAACACCACCGTGTTTAAAGTGAATGAAAAATGACAAGTGTCTTTCAGTGTCCAAAAAAGCTGTATAAAAATGTAATTCTTATAGTTTAGTATCCTATAGAGAAGGTGACCCCACACTTTCTCAGTCAGGGAGCCCAAACATAAACACAAACAACCGCCCCGACTTACAGTAATTGAAAGTAGCAAACATTTGAAGCGTCAAAACATGTTCAATTAAAGCTGGAGTACCTCACTTTTTTCTCATCAATTATCCATGTTGTTTGTTCCAACAGAAAGAGTCTTGTTGTGAACAAATCAGACCACAACTTTCTCCCTATTAGAAATGATCTTATCGTGCATTCTTGTAAGAAAGAGACAGGGTGGTCCTCTTTTTTTCACTTTGCATGCTACCAAAAATGCATGCATGTGAGAACTAGTGATAGAATCAAACTGTTTTGAGAGCGAGGAACTAGTGACGTGGATTTATTAGCTATTTTATAAGTTGGTTTCCCCAGCTTTAAGTGAAATGCCTTGTGTTGTCTGCCCTAATATTTTTTCTCTTCTTAGCAATCAAATAATTCACTAAATAATTCTGTAACGTTTTAAATAAGGAACAAAATCAACCAGTCAATAAGAAATACAAATATTTATTTATGGGCCAAATATTGTGACGGAAAACCTTTGCTTTATTTCAATATACACAATATGGAGGTACTTTATACTTTAATAACTACAGCTTGAGACATTGAGCCCGCATCCACACATCAACACACACATTATATTAGGAAATTCCTGCCGTGTCTCTTGTTCTGTGCGGATGGACACAGGCTGTTCTTCTCGGGGTCCTGGGTGTGTGCGGTGCAGGGATCTCTTTTCATCCACAGAAAACTCCAAGGCTGGTACACTGTGCTCTTTCTTCCCTCGGTGTCCCTGTGTCTACCGCTGGCAGCCTGTCAAACGCTATTAGTATCACGCTGTTTACAAAATACCATCGCTCCCACTCGCTTACATTAGGCAATCTGCATTAAATAGAGACGTGCTTAGCTGAAATACGTGTCATATCGAATTGCACTGATGTGGCTCCAAGTCTATATACATATATGCAGCTTTATAGAGATTTTGGAGAAAATTCTAGATTTTACCGGCATAGTCAAGGTCCTGCGGTCATAATATAGAGATGATCATGGTTCTTTCCAAGTGGCTTTCGAAAGACACATGATTGATGATAGGACTGCTATGACTTCATCCTGTAAAAAGTCTAAAAATCTACGTGCACAAAATGTTTATTAACAGTCTTTCCTTCAATACAGGCTGTTGTGTCTGAATTATAGAGCTAAGGAAGGTTTTTCTGGAGTTATTTGGTTCTTATACCGTCAAAACATGGTATAGAAGAATGCAATAACTTAGTCCATCAACATACAACATGTATAAAATATGTGCATATAGCTTTTTATTCATGAATCCCGCTCCCAAATAAAGCTGGGGTACCTAACTTAAAAAAGGTGTGAATTGAAAGTGCAAAAAAAGCCATAAAATAACATACATGTGAAAAATGGTGATTAGTCCGGAACTTGTTAGATGTTTTTTTTTTTTACAGTTTTTTGTGGTTTGAAAATCAGGTACCCCAGATATAATAATAATAATACAGTTTTATGATTTGGAAGATTCTGAGTGTCAACGCTGCTCCCAAGCCATAGATACAGTATGTCTCTTGCCCAGAACAAAAATCTGTCTCAAATTTGAGTGAGTGCCCATTACTTATTCAATTATAAATGGATTCCTTTTTTGTTTCAAGTAAGAGATTGAAGGTGACGAGGAAATGTCAATATTTGGACAGTTTTTCACGGCTTAAAACTCTTTCCAAGTACTACGTGTGTGAGTTGCCTGGAAGTGTGGTGACAGGAAGGGGCCTTAAGGGTGATCCCTGGGTCAAGGAAACACCGATCTCCCCTGGCCCCCCTCCCTCCCTCTCTCTTTCTGACGGTGATGGAGAAAGGACGGACTTGTCTGTTGTGATTTTAGGAGCTGAGGGACTTGACTGAGCCCGGCTGAAATGTGAGCACTTTAAACACCCCGAGTATTTATTACAGGACTGACTAAACCAAGCAGCACCATTGTTTGTGTTTGCAGCCTCAGTAGACTTGGGGTACAGTGCAATTAAGTCCAAGAGAACCTTCAAAACCTGCTTCTATCGCCAAGTGTGTGGAGTGAATGGAAAAATACTTCCAAATGTGAAACGCTTCTGGTTTCACATTGACACAGGTCTCTGAAAAGCGCTATATAAATAAAGGTTACTTACTTACAGCTCATTGTGACATTTCTATTGATGCAATGTCCAGTACCTCCGGCCACCCCTGGTATCTACACTAAAACAATCTAGAGACAACTTTTAGACTTCTCATTTTGCTCAAAGTTAAAGTAAATATAGATACTTTTAAATTCCATGTATTTTTGTGTAGCCCTGAATCACAACAGCAGTTGTGTCAGAGGACTTTACAAAGTTGCTGATTCGTCAACAACAGGATCAGGACACAGGAAATGCAAAAATAACAAACACAAAGGAGCTATTGATCCATAAGGGGCAGAATAACCAATGTTCATAAATGATTATAAATGTCCATAGTTATTTGCTGGACTAATACTTGCTACTTTTTCAAGTTCTTATAACTCTGCTTCCTTAAATTGTGTGTCACTGCCAGTGTATGTATTTTTATTTTGTTGAGAAGAGATTTTGACATAGCTCATCAGCTGCTGATCTCCAGGGCTAATGACAAAGCACCCAGTCCTGCTTCCTGTGTTTATGTGAAAAGCAGAGAGAGAAAAATGCAGGGAAATACACAGAACTTGTTTATTGTTTGATCAGGGCTATGGTCCGAGCAGAGTTTATGGACTTATTGCTTTGACTCCATCAAGTTTATGTATGTTATTGTCAAAATAGATTTACCCGAGTGCTTTGATCATGATGAGCCCACAGTGTGTTGTTTTTCTCCATCAGCTCCAAACCTGCGACTTATATTCAAGTGCGTCCTGTACATGGGCTAAATGAACTTCCTTTTCAAATTCAGCTGGTGAAGTTTATATTCAGGTGCACATGATAGTCCAGTCAGTACTAAAATAGAAATTTCAGGTTCATTTATCTCTGAACACACAAAAAATGTCTGATGTTTTGTTCAACTTTTTAGTTTGTTTGTTGTATGGTTTACCAAGGATTTCACCATCTCATAAACAAAAATATAAAATATTAGATAATAATTAGATAATTTTTCCCTGATATCTGTACTTTACTTGACTGTTTAATTTTCTGAGAACATGTTTTACTTACTTTTTTACCTGACTTTTAAACACATGTATTTGTATTTTCCACTGCTTATCTAAATTATTTCATAAAGGCCAGTTGTGTCTCAGACCATTTTCAAAGCAGGGGTCTTTGATGGAACTGGAGCATGCGTGCTGTATAGAAAAAGCTTTAACTCAACGTACAGGGGTAAAAGTACGACTCTTTAGTTTCGTTTTTTATTATGACTCAACAGTAGTTACTTTACAAGTCTTTGTAGATGATTACTCGTGAAAACAGGAAAGTTTGAACCTCAACGCTGCAGGAGATGATCTAACCCTAACCCTAACACTAAATATATTGTACTTTTATTGAACCAAGAAAAACATTTGACTTTTAATTTAAGTGTAGAAAATCATTTACCTTTCAACTTTTGCATCAGTACCGTACCTTTAATAACTACTTTTGCCACCTCTGCTGAGACAAAATAAACGTGAACATTATATAAAAAATATAAAATGGCAACAGCGCCCTCTCGTGAAACAATTTATGCATTACAGGAGTGAAAACAACAAATGAGTATAATCGTTTATTACAGCTGCATCCAAATACAAAAAGCCTAATGTTAGCCCTCTCTCAAGCGATCATACAAGTAAGGTATACATTTTTTTACAAGTGTATTTAAATATATACATTTGTTTAGCACCAGTTGTGTCTCAGGCAGCCAGAATTGTGGCAGACTTTGGGGTTTGGCTGCACAGATCAATACTTCTCATCTCTCCAGAAGATACTGGATTAGGACCTTTTCAGCGCTCACAAATTGACGAGGTTTGCTGAATTCCACTGGCTGCACTCCTGCACAACAAGCAACACAGAAAAAACAAAAACATAATTACAGTTATATCATTTTTATTTAATTTTTTTAGAAGAGAAAAATTGTCTCTTGGTACATGCATACATTCATGGCCTGACAGCTTCTGCAACAAGTTAATAAATAGCCACAGATGATCCAAAGAGAATCCCAAACTTGACTAACAGACACTTACAGCAACCCTTCTCTCCCTCAAACCTGAATCCCTTTCACACATTTCCAAGTTTAGTCCTAAAACAAAGGCCTGACATACATAAGCTGTTTACTTTTACCGCAGTAATTACCTTTGAGAAGCATGTTCCAGTCCTGCAGACTCATGATCCGACCGTCCTGCTCCGACACAAACCTCCGACCATCTGTCAACACACACCAGCAAACACATTCTCCTTCTGTCATCTTGGGTCTGATTGTGAAGCTTATGTGGTGGGAAATTTTTTTAGGTTTGCTCACGTTTGCCTTTGAGGTACATCATGGACTGTGGACCCCAGTGGATTTTCATCTAAACAGAAACATTAAGGTGATGGAAAGGCTTGCAGAACAACACTTTAATCAAATAAATAATAATCAAATAATAACAGTTCTAGAGCCGGGGCAGGCAAGATACATATCCAGTCCATCGAATGAAAAGGGGGCAAAACTATTCTGACTTAAACTGGACTCATAAAACAATAGGGAATACAATCACTCACAACCTTCATCATTATGAATATTACGAATGGGGAAAAGTTTCTGCCCTAAAAGTAAATACACCTCTCTAACACAGCTAATTTTGTCCATGGCTTCTAATTTGTGTTTTTTCCCCTCACCCATAGAGTACCCTTGAACTATAGATAAAGTCATTACTGAACTAAGGCAATTTTTGGTCAACAAAGTAAGCATGGATCGGCTGAGGCATCTAACTGTCAAATCACAACTAATGGAACCATGTGATAAAATCCATCAAACTAGTCCTTCTCAAAACAGTTTGGTTCAATCGGTTTTCACAGGCATGTATTTTTGGCCATTGTCACATCTTTAGATAAGCCTTTTGATTGAAAATGAGAGGACCACTGCACTCAGCCAATCAGCTCTCAGCCCAGGGCTCCTTCTCACAACAATACCAAAGATAACATATGGTCTGATTTGTTCACGTTTAACTTTTACTAGATTCTTTCTGTTGAAGCAAAACAAATGATTATCTATAAATAAAGGTTAGCTTCCCCCAACTTTAATTGACTACTAAATGACTAAACAACACATTGCTTATACTGTTACCTTGTGAGCCGTGCGCACTTCCACAAACAGTGAGATGACCACAGTGAGAATCCACATATCTGCAGTTTTCAGCTTCTGCAAGAGGAAAGGTCAACGCAGACAGATTAATACTTTTAGAATGACTTTATAATATCATCTTACATATAATTTGATACTGCATTCTGAATAACCCCACAGTTCAACAACTCAAGAAAATGCTATGTGTAAACAGTGTATCTATCAATATATATTTATAGAGCTTCTTTCCTACGCAGGGCAACAAAGCTCTTCACAGTCCACATCGCACAAAACACATATCATCATATAAAACAATAATAAAATCACCATTAAAAACACAATAATAAAATCACCATTAAAAACACAATAATAAAATCACAAAGGTAATTAAAAACATGAAAATCACACAGGTAATTAAAAACGTCCATTCATCCATTTTCTTCCCCTTGGTCCATTTCTGGGTCGGGGGATCGGAGGGGGGCGGTGCTCTGTCAGTGAGAGCATAGCCTTAATTTTTCAGCGGGGGCATCAGGCAAAGTGGGGTTAAGTGACTTGCCCAAGGACACAACAACACCAGACATCAGGGGGGTCAATTAAAAACGTTTGAACATTGAAATCACAGTTCATTAAAAACATAAAAATCTATTCTCAACAACAAATAAAAAATAAAAATAATAAATAAAAAATAAAAATAAAATAAAATAAAAAACATAAAAATCACACAGTTCATTAAACAATCAATAACCATAGTGCATTAAAATAGGTGATAACATCCTTCAGTTGTAAGAAAAGGCAAACAAAATGTGTATACAAAATATACTATAACCCACGCCTAATGTATGCCTTGTTACAGCCTGCTGGAGTTCATACAGTCCTACTCTAGTTCTTGTGGTCCTAATATAAATAAAGATGACTTACTTTCTGACTTACCATTGTGGCGGAGCAGTGAGCAGCCAGAGGCGGATCAGTGTAATGTGCCCCTGTTCCAGCTGCTTTTATCACCCGCATCATAACACGTTCGATCCGCCCTCCCTGCCAAAGCCTGGCGGGAATCCTGTTTACCGGTGCCCAATAAACAGCACAAAAACAGTGCTGTCGTCACGGCCGTGATCCACAGAGGAGAACATCAATAGTGTGCAGGGGCTCACAGGAAAGGGGCTTCTGTGTCTGCGTTGGTTATCGGACAATTACGTGTCTCTGTCTGGGTTCAAGCGCTCTGGGACTGTCGGAAGTAGATCATGAACTATATACAGACTTTCGTTGAAATTATTAAGAAGTAAGATCAGAGTCTTCTTTAACGCATTTTCCCCGATCTGCATTTGTCAATACGATATTTGGGAATAGTTGAGAGATCGTCGAGTTTGGATGTGTCACAGTATTGATAAGGAATGTGTTGGAAATTACATTTGATAATGTCAAAGAAGCAATAACAAAGAGGATTTATATTCTGGTAAGATAAAAAATATAAAAATTTAAATAAAATGCATGCAAAACTATAGTTGTTTTGGATGTTTAATGAATAATTTAATTGAAACTTACATACTGTATCCCAAATAAATATATATAAATATTAGACAATTAGGTTTGTAAAGATCTAGAGACACTACTAAAGAAGGACACTGTTTACCCTTCTTGTTTCTCTCAGTTTGGTTGTTTGTGTTGTTTGAACATGGCGCGGCCTATTTCTGTAAAGCAGCGTCCAAACTCGTTGAGGATCATGTGCTGAGCCCAGGCCTCACATCGCTGCTCTCTCTCGGCCTCTTCGGCCCGAGCCAGTAAACTCACAACCACCCCCTCCACCATGGCAGGGGTAATGACCGACGGGGGCCCTCTGGACACAACACAAGAGCAGAGGGAAAGTTACAACAACTAATGAATGAATGTGCTACAGTTCTGCATTTCAGTTTCTTTTCAAGGGTGGTGTGCGGAGGCAGCAGACAAAGCAGCGATGCCCTTACTTCCCCCTCCACCCCCATCTTCCTCCGGCTCATCAGGGGGAATCCTGAAGCGTTCCCAGGCCAGCTGACATAGTCCTGGGACTTCCTCCGGGTCTCCTCCTTCTGCTCTGGAAGCCGGAACAAATCCGCAGTGAGAGTTTCAGGATGCAGAAGCCTGAGCCCCATCCGCTGAAGTCCTCTTAGCATGGAGGAACAGCGCCTCTACACCAAGCTCCCAAAGAAGCACCGAGCCGGTATTAACCCATTTCAAACCCTCTTGTTGACCATGTGAGGGTGGGAGCGTCCAATGATTGGTAAATAAAGAACTTTGTATTTGCAAAATTTCTGACCGCATCACAACACCAATCTGTCTGTCATTCTCACCCGACATTTGTATTGGAGGTCTTGTCCACTAAGTCTGCATGATGGTTTCTGCAGCCAATGCATTTACAGCTAGCGGCGCACCTGATATTGGCCTGAAATAATATGAAATATATATTACTAATAATTAAAAAACAGATCAGATGTATGCTTTCGGGGTTGTAAGCAGCACCTCGTAGCACTCGCAGTAGTTCTTCAGACAACCAGAGCGTTTACAGTTGCATCCTTTGCTGTGACGGCCTTTTCCAGACTTTCCATCCGATATTTTAGGTCCAAAGGCATCTGGGTTGCGGACAAGACATGACTGGAGAGAAAAAAAAGTCCCCAAAGGTTTAGTTAACTACTTGCATGCAGAAGTTGTGTGGAAGTTTGATCCATTGGTTTGATCATATGTCAATCCCATGAGGTGCCAGTAGAGTGTCCTTCTTGTAAAAAAAACAGAACTGAAATGATTAATTGATAAATAAAATGACAAATCTTAAATAATGTATTAATCCGTAGTAAGCTCAACATTCAGTCATTTACTGTGTGCCTGTATTTCAATATGAGACAGTGTAGAGTACCTTAATTGCTTTTTCTCTCTTAGCTTCATGCTCTGTGTTATTGTGGCAGTTTTTGCAGGGGCAATTGTTGCACATGACTCCACCAGCAAAGCACTCACAATATCTGTGGAAAAAATGTAAGCGGATATTAAGATTTCCACAACATGCAGAACACATTACTCTGATGTACGGTTAAAATACATTTGATAATAATATGATAAAAACGATCATATGTGTAGTCGCACTTACAGTTTTAGGCACATGGACTTGGCGCAGTGACAGGATTTACGTGACCTTGGTGCAAACGGAGTTCTGGCAGACACAGGAACAAGCATCAGATGTGGAGATTTATATCAAGAACAAAGGTAAAGCAGCTCACAACATTAATATCACCATGAAAAATATAAGTAATCATATTTTCCTAGTGTGTGTGTATAATGTATTTCTATGGCATAAGTTCTCGTATTGTACAGCAGAGGGAAGCACGCTCCTGTCGATGTCTTTACACTGTCTCCGATGTAAATGTATTCTCTCCTTCATGAGTTTTCCTGTTTTGATGGTGAGGAGCCCTTGTGCTGAGGCGCTAAAGTTCTTACTGAGATATAGATGTATGACGGCTTCTCTCGTCTGGAGGCTCTCGAGAATCCAAAGAACATGCTTCCTAATAGCACACAAATTCCATTCACAATGCTTATAAAATATTTCAAATGATACGGTTTGTTCTACCTGATTGTACAAAACAGGATCATCTGTAAAGGAAAAACAAAATGTAATATGAACGGGGGAAAAAAGGTTTTCAATAAATCCAACAACTTTATTTGCCAGGATGCATTACTCACCTCTGGCATTATTGTTTGTGTTTTGTCCTGAATATAGCAATTCAAGGTCACGAGCAGCAGGAGAGTCAAAGGGGACAGTTACAACCCCTTCCAAAACAAACATTACTTTTAGAAATTTACAACAAACATATTACAATATATTCTTTCCAAAGACTGTCTATAGTTGGACAATGCTAACTCCCTAGCTCAATGAAGGCCAATATGGATTTGCTCATAGAGAAAGTTTAGCTCCAACTCGCTGATGACTTACATTGAAAAGTAAACTCCTAAAGCTCAGTAACCGATTATGTCACACTCACAATTTTGGGCTTTAAAAAATTGTGGTTTACTGCTCTCTGTGATCCTGGTGTTTATTATTTTGATATTGTCTTTGTAAATCCACATATTTGAAGGGAGAACTCCAGCTTGACTTAGCAGCCGTCAAAGCAACAGGTCTACGCCAATATTATAATAGATCTATGGTCTACGCCTGTTACTGTGCAATGCTAACGACACAGAATAAATGCCCATATAAGGTAATAAGCTCCAGCTAGTTTTTGTTCAAATCGGATTCTTCTGCATTCGGTAAACACTACGGTGATGCCAGCACTTGGATCGTTCTTCCTCACCTTCATCTTGACCAAAGAGATTGTTTCTATGCACAGGAGCATTTTCCAGTGTAACAAACACAGATTCTGGCTCAGAGTTCATAAGTACAACTTGTCCACTTTGATCTCCATTGTACATCTGAAAACAAATATAAACTATGAATTTTGGATGAAATACAATTAATGCGATATGTGCTATTAGTGCATAGTTACAGGATGTAAGAGGTGGTTGCTGTCAAGTATGGCTTCGCCAAAGTTTATATCCTCCATCGTATAAGCCACACATACATTAACCTCTGAAGACGGATTAACCCCCTAAAAATTGCAAATATGCCCAATTATAGCAAAGAATTTAATTTACGTACTTGCAGTATAAGCAATCGACTGAGATTTATAAAATAGAAGAAAAGATAAGAAAACCTTTATTTGTCCCTCAATGAGGAATTTTCAGTGTCATTGTTGCGCATGTTACAGGAGAAATAACAGCACTCGGGATAAACACACATGAAACTATTATTTAAGAAAATAGACTCCGGCTTTCTTAACCCCCCCCAATACTCTGAAGCATGGAAAATGATGTGATGAAAAAACTTACAGGCATCAGGCTCCACAGAATGGGCTCAGAAGTCAACCAGGACCTTGCACCAGACTGTACCTCGCTGTTAGAGCTGTAGTTAAACAACAATTTTGTTATTTCAATTTGATCTTTGTAAAATAAACCACATATTGAAATTGTGTGCACATCTTTGTGTCAATGTGACACCCTAAAGATGGGTTCCAACATTGCAAAAAACAAAAAAATATTACTGAAGTTTATTAAAAGTCATGCAGCAGAAACCACAAAGTAACACTGTGGTTAAAGGGGACTTTTGCAACTTTTATGTAAAAACAAAGTTAATATATCTGCAGATTTGACCTTTCAGTAGTGGCTATAAGAGTGGTCAGCATGGTGCTTTAACTTTTGATCAGGGTTGTGAATACAGTGCTCCAGGATCAATTGTTTTAAAGGTTTTCTTGTGTAGGGGCAGAGAAAAACTTCCATACATCCTACAGCATCCTAGAGACCACTGTGATGGGAGGTAAAGGCCCCGTGCTGAACACTTCTACATCCACTGGGTCACTCACTAGTTACTACAAAAAAATAAACTTTTTTTCCACATGAAAAGTTGAATAATGCTTGTTTAAGGAAAAGGCTGCTTAAGGTCCCCTGAGGAAACCTATGAAAAACATTTCGCTGAACACATAATAGATCTTGAGGTTGGCTGATCAACACTCTCTGGATGATTGTCCCTCTTGCGCAGGTATTTATTTTATGGGGGTATCTCAGGCAGTCACCGACAGCGCACAAATAGAAATGTCTCAAATAAAACATATTATTGAGAGGCAAGAATACCAGTCACTGAGCCACAATTCTACAGTATACCTGCTGAGAAGGGTGAACTGCTGAGACTGTGGATACATGAGGGAGTTTTGGTTCGGCTGCTGAGCTTGAGGCTGGAACTGACCGCTGTTATAATAGAGAGTTAGAAAGATATGTGTAGTCAACAAAAGGGTTCAACACCATTGGAACATAAATAAATACCTTATACCGACCTGAGCTGGTTTGGGTCAGGGTCATGTTGTTGTGTCAGCATGTACTCTGCAGGGGGCGCTGTCCACCCGAGAGTATCCACAGTGACCGTATCTGTGGCGCAGTGGTTCGTGTTGTCCTCATATCTGACCTCTCCGCCGCTACTTTCCATCACAAAAAAGTATTCGTCCAAACACCTGAACGACACACACAACATTACACATGTCATTGGGCGTACTAAATTATCAATTATCATACAAATTATTAATAAAACAAAAATCTACCGGTTAGCCGCTAGCCGTTAACCGTTTGCTAGCTGCGGTTGGCTAGCTCGTTTATATCTATTATCATAATTATAAATAGTCAAATGTTATGACCTGAATATATTATAAACCAGTTATGATATTAATGTAGATAAATAACATGTATATTACAAAAATTACGTGTGATTTGAAGGAAAGGTTTATCTTGACTCCGCTCTGAGGCCCTCCTCAGGTCAGCCCGGGGCCCTTCTCAATGAACCAGGGGCAGGTGTGTATCATGGATCTATTCAAATATGGTTTTTATGTATTATTGGGTTATTCTCCTGTTTCATGATAATAATATGGAATTATAATAAAGCTGCTTGAATAGTGTTATTATTGTTTACAAAGATATGGAGTTTGTGTTTATGTCAATCATAAGATAAGATAATTTACATGTCAAATTTGGCATAAATTGAATCACTCAGGGTGTGCAAAAAGACAAGAAATGTGCAAACAGGGAATGTGCAAACACTTTTTTGCGCAAGTAATATATTATGTACAATTAAATTAAATTATGTATTCAAACTCTATAGGTCCACATTGTAAAAGACACAACAAGAAACACAGACACTAATAAGACAAGACTTACCTAAAAAATAAAAACACGCTTAAATAAAAGACAGCTATACCATGTTTCCATAAGGGAGACTGGTACAGAGCAGCACAAGACCTCCAGCTCCACTACTATAGACTTCTCAGAGTCAGTGAAGCAACAAATTAATTTAGAAAATTCTCATGAGAGTCTGAAAGCTGCTGACCCGAGTTTGAGCGAACAGCAGACTGGCACGACAGGACATGGACATTTTTTAACAGCATCTTAAGCTTCTGCAGTGTGGCCTTTTTATATTTGCTGTAACCTCTGAACACATTCACGTTCACATTGTCCGAACATTTCCTGAGAGTTTCATGGGCAATGAATTGTACGACACAGCCGGGTACATGTAAATTGAGACGAGATTTCAGCTTAAAGGGATTTTGCACTACAGGGCAACTCCTAGAGCTTTTACAAAACAAGGAACTATAAAATAAATATCATACATAATCAAACAACATACATTTATAATCATTCATTATAAAATAAGAACAAACACACCCCTTCAATTACATACACAGGCAAATAGATGTGTTCTTCATCTTGTCAGATCTGAACCTCTTTATAGTCCTGACTCTGAGCACCAGCAGGAGGCCTTCATACCTGTGCTCCTCCGAGTCCCAGCTGGAGGCCAGTCACTCTGTTCCCCAGAGTGCCTCCTGGATAATAAATTCTTCTACAGGAGTCTGGATTGTCCTCAAAGCTATATCCTCAGTGCCAGAGGATATCCAAACGCTATATTTGTTATGGAGCAAAATAAACAGCTAATTAACGTTTTGGTTCAACAAATAATTAACCAGGTCTAGTATACCAACCAGAAAACACTACAAATCAGGTGGAGAAACTACAATGAAACCAAGTATAGTCTAAATGTATTATAATTTGCTAGGCCAGATTCGACCCCAAAGTTGAATAGGCCTTTAATAACATATAACATCTAGTCTGTGAATGATCAGAGAGGCGCCTCAGGTCTGTGAGTGTGCTCTTGCATTTTGTGCAGTAGTTCTCCAACACTTGATTGACCTCAAAATTTGTTTATACGGCTTCTTACCTGCTGAAAAGACAAACACTTTTTATGATCCATTCATTACAATGTTCTTCATTTAAGTCACTCGTGTTTCATGTCAAATACAGCAGTTGTTTTTAGGAATATCTTGAAATCATCTCAGGTCCAAAATGTGAAATGGGGGATGCCAATTTAATCACCACCATTTATTGTTGAGCATTGTATTTAACAAAAAAAGACTGATTTCAAGAAAAACAATTACAAGTCCAAGTACAATGTCTTTATTATTTCCATTCATATATGAATTATTACAGTCACAACAGTCATAGTCCTCTCAGAATCAACAAAACATATTGGCTTCATTAACACGGGTCATCAGGGTATGAGCACACACAGAAACACTTGGGTAACACGTCCTCACTATGGGTTGGCTAATTCTTCTGATGTCACAGAGGAAGAGAGGCTGTCCAAGGCTCCCATTTCTACAAGTTTAGCAGAGAATACGACGTTTAAACTCATGCCAATCCATCATAATTCAGCTGAAAATGGTAAATAATTTCAAACTATAACATACAAACGGTTACGTAGATACAAACCTTTGAGCTTGAGGTAGGAAAGGAAGTCAATAATCGTGTGGATTACGTCTTCATCAGCTATCCTCGAAGCACCTGCACACAAGTCAAAGAATAATTTAATCTATTTATACTTCTATATCCATGGAAACTCCTGAGATTGTGTTAAAAATACAGACCTGTTCTGAAATCTTCCTCCATGTCTCTCTTCCCGGCAAGACCAGGCTTGTCTCCTAAACTCCTGTGCCCATCTATGCCATCTGAACAACAAGCATTGGGCGAATGAAAACTTCAGGAAGATTTAGTTCAGCAACCTCACTAAAGAGTTGGTTTTGAAGAGCAACTACTCATCAACAGTTCTCAGTCTCTCCTCACTGCTTCGTGCTTACTACATTTTAGTGATGGTTTGGTTTTCATATCCAAACTCCAACAGACCACTGCAGGGCTTGGCTCACGGAATTGCGGCAAAACAAAAACACAAAGGCACAAGTGTGAGGCATGCAAACAACAGGTGAACTCATGAGACAGCGACAAAATGAGCGTGCGCCTGGCAAAGTATCAGCTGTAGTAGTATGGGCTGGGGACTGTCTCTTTAGGAGCAAGTGTACGGCCTTGTTTTTTATTGTTTATGCACAATAATGTCTTACTTTTAGACTTGAAAATAATTATGCCATATGTATAAAGACAGAGACCATAGCAAGTGGACTGATCCTGTTTGAAAAGTATATTTTGAATTTCCTGCAGAAAAATAACACAGTATTTTATGTTTCTATGTTATCTATTCAATATTTTGTAGAATCTTAAGTCATATTCTGCATTGTATTGCTTCTTGTCTGAAATGTGTCCTTTTATTGGGTAAGTTTAGTAATGCACATTCATTAAGTACATACATTAAGTTTAGTTTAGAATATTTGTAAGATCTTATTCTTTATCCTTTATGCTCCTTGTAAATAGAGCGCTCTGTCTGATGACATCTAATGTGCTCTGTTGTTGAGCAAACTAAAGACACACTTGTTCAGACTTACTCCAGGCTTGTAGATTCGTCTCTACCTTTTCATATCGACTTTTGTTGCATTGTCTTCGTCGAGCGCATTGAGCTGGAGTTTGTATGAAATGTCAAATCCAGCTCAATGCACCATCTATTAAATCACTCCTGAAAACCTTCTTTTACCAAACGGCCTTCCTTTAACCGTCTGTTTTTAACTTCACATCCTATTTTATGATTCTACATTGTCTTTGTTTTATCTTTCTTGTTGTGTGCCCTCTGTCTGCTTTATTTCCTATTTATTTTTTATATATTTTATTGATCTTTTTGATTGTTTTATTGACTGTTTCTCTTGTTTTATGCTGACTGTGCTGCACTTTATAAACTTTGGTTTTGAAAAGTGAAGTAAAGACGGCTTATTTATTATAAGCCGTATATATTTATTATTATGTTAATTCATACATTTCCCTCATATAGGCTTATTTGAAGATACTGTATTTCCATCGTGGACTTTATAGATATATATTTCCAGTTATTTCCAGTGCAGTTATTAACATTGACCCTGTCTGACACACAGATGCATGATTCTGGAGGCGTGTTTTGAGACAGAAGCAGCTAACTGAGGTTAGAGCAGTGAGGCAGAACAATTCCTGACCGGACCAAGCCCGTGCAGTGGCCGTCTGTTTCTATCTTACATTGAGTGACCAGCTCTTCTCTGCCTCTGGCACTGGGAGAATCCTTTATCTGAATTAGGTGATCAATACGACCTGAAACACAGGATGAGGCAGGAGCAACCTTTACCTGGACTTTACACACACTCACACAAAGGGAACATTTCCTACTCCTGGTCCACAAATTCACTGTTCTCTCTCCATTTGCACTCGCTACGCTGTGGTAAAGAGGTCACTGCTTTAATTATGTACAATTAGCTGATGCAGGAATAGGAAGAATAAGAGCAATTTTGAATTTTTAAAAAGGGAGTCACTATCTCAGGTTGCTACAAAGAAGCAAACACACAATGTCATCAAATGAGTGTTAATTAGGACTCATAGAGAGATCATTGGGAAGCTTATATTGAGGTTATTAACTTTCTCCGAACCATCCAAAACCTGGGTGCTTTCACACAATTTCACATTAAAACTAAAGCATCTAAAGCCAAAACTTGGCATCCTGTACTTGACTATGTTCATAAAAGGACCAGAATTGGACTAAAATGGTCTTCATCAAATATAAAATGGGCGATAATTTGTGTGACTGCACTCTTCACGCTAGCACATCTGGCTGCTTTCTATTTCGCCAGTATCATTGAGTTTCATAAGCTTTTAAAGAAGGATCATAAAATCCATACCAACTCTGGCCAGTGAATAATAATAACCCAGAAAGCTTCTGATGAGCAGTTAAATGCGCTATTTGATAAAGTAGTTTCTTTTTCCAAGCTGGAGTTCAATATTTGAGTGATCAAGGGAAAAAAGCAATAGATGTTATCTGGACTTCTCCAAATTCCAGACCAGAGAGGAAAATCAGCACAATGTCAATAATGTATGAAATATAACTGAATCTCTCGTGAATTGTGCATTTCAAATGTTCAGAAAGATATCAGAGCTGCAGTCTGTTCAGTATGGGAAGTGCAGTCTGTACTTACGGGGCCCCAACAGGTAGCCAGCACTGTTCAGAGTCCAGCCACGCTTCTCTTTCGCCTGTGGAGCACAAATACAATTCTTTAATTCATTCATTTGTTCATTTATATCAAACATGCACGAAATATACCAGGTATAATTCCCAGAAAAAATGACAATAGGAGTCAATGAGAAAACCTAAAATCAAGAAAAGTTAAAGGCTTATTTTAATCCAATCCCCTCCATGCCATTCAAACAGATACTACAATACAATACAATTTTTAAAAAACTTACGATTCTTATCAACTCACACGAGAAAAAATAACCAATTTATCCCTGAACATTTCTATACATTTACATCCAATCCTTTCACAAACTTTTTTTAGGCTTCTGATTTGATCTTACCGCAATCACCAGGCCGATGGTCTCTGAGAGTGTCGCACAGAAGATGAGTGACACACAGAACAAGCTAAAACACTTCTGCATCTACAACAGAAACAGTTCTGTTATAAAAAAAATACATATGAATATAGCATAACAGCGTCAAACAGAAACGCTTACCTTTGTGTGAACTAGGTCTTCTTCTCTGTGCGCTGGAGTCACTTGTGCCTTGTTCAGATGGGATTTTGAGGATGTAGTAGATCTCAGTGTCTTTTATAGAGATGATGGGCATCTCTACAGCCGTCAGCAGCCCCTCCCCACACAGGAGGGGCAGGTCACGAACACGTCGCACAAAGACACTCAACTACATTACTTCATGTCATCACTACCATTTCTCTTTGTCCCCAGCAGCGTTATACTGTTGAGCACGATGCCCTCATGCGATCTGGGGATTCAAAAGAGTTCATTTCATACATGCAGAATACACTTGCTACATGTAAAGTCTCAGGCCGGATATAATGCTGCAAACTCACAAACTTGTTATTATTAAAATATTAGTCTATAGTATTTTTCCCCAGTTCTTCTAATCATACATATTGGTTGTTGCTTAATGACACAATCATCCGAGAAGTATGATTAGATAAGATTAGATTAGGTTACACATTTTCAGTGCTGATTTTTATTTGATGTGGCTGGGAAATAATAATGGAGTCAATGTAATTAGAGAACATTCCTAATGACACCTGTAGGTACAACATGGCCTTAAAATCACCTCAAAGTCCAATTACCATGTCCTCAATGTCGAAACAGAAAATGCACAATATTGAACTATAAATTGTATCAAGCTTTGAAACCGAGTCAAGGTCCAATCAATGCTTGATTTCCTTTAATTTAGATATAAAATGGTACAAAATGTGATTAAAATACTGCAGCTGCAGCTGCACAGGGAACAGGGAGGAGGTTGTTATGGATACATACAGTATGCAAGTAGGTACAGTATGTGTGGATTACTTTCTTTCACTCTGTTTGTGCAAATTTGAACCTCTTGAAGTGGCTCACAGAGGGCCATGAGTCCAACTCCAAGGTTGATGCCTTAATGCAGAAGATTTGCATGTCTCTCTTGTTTCCAGGTCAAACATGGTCTGGGTGGGTTTCCTACCACCAAGCTCCTGTGGAATCAGCTCCCCATCCATGTTGAGGAAGCAGACACAGTCTCTACATTCAAGGCCAGCAGCGGTGACTGTAACGCTCCTTTTGGACAGATCTCTGTGAGGGCAACACACTCTTCTTCTCCCAGCCCATATTAAAAACATGATGATATTGAGAACCTTCTCCATGTTTATCAAACTGTGGCTCCTGGACAATCAAAGCTGAAGACACAGTAAACCCCTGGTGTGTTTGTCTTGTACTGTGCAATACTCCTATGTTCTGATTTTGACAGTATTTAGCTTTTAATAATTGATGCTTTGTATATTTGTTTGTGGCTGACACATCGACCTGTCATGGGACTGCAGATGGAAATGAGTCTCTAAGGCTGAATCTGGCATGAAAGGCACATTGTAATCAACAAATACATGAAATAATTGATCCTTTAATATTCACATTTTGCATTACAGCCTTGAGTGAGTCATTTGGTTTGATATAATGTAATTTTCAAATAAATTATTCCAATCCTTTGAAGAGCTGAGAGTCCCCTGAAGGTAAATCTCATTCTGTGATGATAAGAGTGACGCAGGAAGACGTCCCCTGAGCTCTCTGCTTCACGAGGCGAGCCCACCCTGCGCACCTGTTCTGACCTGTACCTCAGATTCCGGGCAGAGGAGGAGCAGACACGAGTACACACAGCACTGATGGAGGCCACTCTCACAGCACGGGCAGCAGCAGGATGTCTGACAAAGAGGAACGAAAACCGTCACTTTTGCTCCAAATGAAGTAAACTCTGGTTCACTTGGGATGGATTCTGGTGATTTGGATTTATAGCTTACACATTTCTTGAATCAATTTTGCCAAAAACTGAAATTTGAATTTCGAGAGATATAATGCTGTATATTTCTTTATGTTAAATATTACATATTTTATTTCCCAAAACTCTACACACAATTTTCACAAATTTTACAAAGTTATCAAAGTTTATAAAGACACATAACACGTTGTACAGATAAATTCAACGCAATTCTATTTGTTCAGAGTTCAAGAGAAGGATCAAATTAATCTAAAACTAGACAGTAGTCTGATACTTTCTGTCAATAACTTTTTGGACAGTTTTGTTAAATGTAATAGCCCTGCTTATACTGTATGTGGCTGGTGCTTTCTGTTACATTTGCATTATGTGTAATTTATAGACAAATATTTTGCAAAAGAAAATGGAAGAGTTTCGAGACATGTGTCACACGCTAGAATTTAATTCAAGATTTAATTCCTTGATGGCTTGGTGCAATGTATCTTAGGCATGGGTAAAAACTGTAATTATGAAGAGAACCTTTATTCGTCCCACAGTAGTGAAATTTCAATGTTGCAGCGCACATACAGGACTGTAGTAATAGCACACAGGGAGCACACAAAATATACAATATCAGTAGCTGCTATGTTAGCTAGCTGTAAAGGCTTCAATCAATCTTTCAAAATATCTCTAATAGAGCAAAGTTATATACATATAGGGCAGGGTAGTAAGTAGATAAAGAAACATTCAGTGGACATTCTGAAATAGCAGTATTGCACATTGCACAGTATTTACTATTTACAGATGAGTGACATGTTCAGGCTCAGCAGTTCTCATTGTACAGTCTGACAGCAGCAGGAAGGAAAGGCCTTGCGTAACCTCTCCTTCTCCTTCAGCGAGGGTTAGTCTGTCACTGAAGCTACTTTCCACAGCAGACAAAGTTCCAGTGTACAAACAAGTGCACACTGGACCATTTTACAACAAAATGAATCTTGCAGAAGCGTGTCTTGTTCGACATCAAGTTCTGAAAACACGGTGGCAGTTTTTGTAAAGAGCTGACTGGTCTCGTGGTGGTCTCGGACTGATCAAGTGCAGGTCATTCAGGACTTCTTCCTGCTCTGGTTTGCATCATAGTCCGGTCAGAGCAGGACTGCAGCATGCCACTAAATCGAGTTACAGAGACAGATATAAATAGTTTGGAGCACTATAATCTGTTTACAAGTAAATTTATTTCTGTTTGGCCTTACACTGTGGGTGAGAAGTTTATCTTTCCCAAGAGGTTTAGACTTAGCCTGGTCTTACCATACCATCATACAGATTTCATTTTGTACATGTAGGGAAATAATAATTTCGAAGAGTTTTCGAATGGCTAAGGCCAGGCTAGTACAGACTGGTCCTGGTCTTTTTTGCTCCTGTAGCTACAGGTACAAAACATAATAATACACGCTTTCTTCATGTTGGTTTTATAGAAGCTAAAAAGCTCGTTGAAGCCACATTCATGAAAGAGAAAGATTGTAATAATGTTGAAAGTTGCGTTTAACTGATAACTGATTTTCATGGTTGTCGTTTTTAGTTTCTGTTTTATTTTGTATTTTCTGTTCTCCTGTGTCTTTTTGGTTTTTTACTTGTTGATGGCCTGCCCCGCCATGTGTGTTACACCTGTGTGTCCCAGGTTAAATTCCCTGTGCTCTTTCCCGCTTGTTGTCAGTCCATTATATAGTATTATAGGGTATCATTAATAGGTACGTGGGGGGATTATCTTCTTCCGGGTGGAACATCTCTAGACTATTGGTCCTCCTGATTGTTAATCATTCTGGTGATATGTGAGACATGTTTTAATAGGCGTTCCCTTTGAGCAGGGCGGCTCTTTCCTAACATTCGTGAAAATCCTCCTATATACAGTACCTTTAAGTGTTTGTTCTGGGGTTTTTGTCTTCAACCTCTGTTCTTGTGTTTTACATTCAGTTGAGTTTTGTTTTGTACATATAATATATATAACATATAATTTTTTGCAGTATTGAATTTTCCTCCTCCTTTTTGAAACCTGACACTGATAAGATAACTAAATGGCATTCTGCTTCCCACAAAATACAGTAAAATGTACACACAACAGGCATAACATATTGCATGTGTTTGTCTATGGTATCTCTTAATAACTAGCAACTGTATTTACACATTCATAAAATATATTCTTCATAATCATTACATCAAACTCATAACTGGTTTTGACTCGAAAGAAGTGAAAGAGTGGAGCGTGGAGTCTCATCTCATGTGTGATGCGCTTCCTCAGATTCTAAGGCCGCCCGATGGGAGAGCAGTGATGATGTGAGGAGGAGAGGCCGCTTGCTGGGAAAGAACTCATGAAAGAGACCACAGAGACACTGATGGCCCGAGTAACAGGAAGTGAATCAACCCAAAAACACACTCTATTTGTCTGTATCCAGTAAACTATAGGCCCACAGCAGAGGGATGGAGGTGAATAATGCTAACAACAATGTATTAATCTATATGTTTAATTTTGTTTTATTTAAGATAAAAAAAAGATCAACTTTATTGATCTCACAATGGAGAAATGTACATGTCACATTTGGCATAGACAGGATCACTCAGGGTGTGCAAAAAGACAGAAGTGTGCAAACATGCAAAAAGGTTCAAATATAGTCTCTTTTGTGCAAGATATATCATGTATGTATGATTATGGCAGTGCGAGTTTTTACAGTCCTAGTGCAAGTTATTCAGTAACGTATTGCACAGTCTGACTTATTGTACATTTCTTTCTATATTGCCTTGTAAATATAGAAATCTAATAAAACTTAAAATAAATTAAAAATATATCTGAATTTACTTATTACTGTATTACTATGTGAATCTGACATTTTTCTGTACACTTGTCCCTATATACAGTACTCTCTAATGTTCCCCCCACCTCTACCTTATACATATTACAGTATGTGTGTGTATAATGTGTTGCAGAATTAAAAAGTACTTAAAAAGGGCAAAGCCGAGTGTCGGACATATAGCCGCAGCGATAGTAGAGGTGCCCTTCTCAGTGAAGAACCACTTCCAGCAAATTAGCTCTTGTTGAGCCTAGATCTTTGTAATTGTACAAAATTAAGATGACATCAGTGAGTGGGTCTGCAAAACACGAACATTGGATTTGAAGAGATTTTCTGTTCATTGTGATTGTCCTGTTATTGTCCTGATACTGTTATTGCAGTTTCATTGATGTCACTGTGTTCTCGAAGTCGTCAATGAAGATGAAATTATAGGTCAGTTGGCATAGAAACCACTATGTTACATTAAACAATGAAAATGTATGTAGCTATAACGGGCACATAAAAATAAAATGAAAATGCCTGCTGGGACATTGTTGATGCTTTTATAGAAGGACATGGCCACAGTGGACGGGCCAATTACTTTCCCAGTGCATCCTGTCGCCTCATCACCAGGATTCAGCCGCACACATTTGCATTTAGAATCTTCTGTCCTGTTCTCATCTCAGCCTCAGGTCGGATCTGCAGACTCCTGCAGTCACGCACAAAGGCCCGCAGGAAGAGCCCAGCACACGTTTCAGGTGAACGTCTTATTCATGTTGAACGAACAAGGGACACATCAGGACAGAAATGACCAACTTTCTTTCAATCTGTCCCCACATTTTCTGGTCAATCCCCAAGTTTATGATAAGGGTCGACCGGTTATCAGCACCAGTATTTCGACAATCATTTCAATAGTCAACTTGTTAGTCTGGTCCAGCGTCCTGGTCGAAAAGAACAATGATAGAAAAATACAAACCATCAGTTGTGCCAGCACTTATATTGGAAAACAGGCTGACTGTATGTGTACGAAGTTTGGATTAGTTTAGTGTAATAACTTAAAAACAGGACACCTCTTTTGGATACAATACAATCACACCCTGCAAGTACCAGTCCATCCAGCCCATAAAGTCTCCATTGCTCTACCAATCCAATTCTGAGGCTACATAACATCCAGTTTATTGTTGGAGTTTGTGATAATAAAACGCATGCCAATAATTTTCCCTTAACTGTAGAGCAAATTAATGTGGGCTCCATATTGGTTAGAATATCAGTCTCCCTGACGGTAACCCTGAAAAAACATTAGTCACGGTTTAAGTTAAACCTTATAAACTTATGTCAGCATTTGATCCATTTGTCTGTAAGGTGTACTACTAGACACAAGGTCCAAGAGCTCATTCTGGGTGAGTTTCCGACTAAAAGCAGCACAATGGCCTAATGCTCTTTAACTCAATGGACTTTCTGAAAAAATAGTGCATGAATTAGGCAGCATTTATCTTTATGTAATTATATATAAAAAAACATTTAGTATTACTTCAAACATATTGAAATAATCATAATCAAAGTGACAAACTGGTTTTCATGAATTAATTTGATAAAAGAAACATATTTTAAGACATTGTAAAGGTGCTATTTCTATTTTGTAGTATAACTGGGTGGAATATGGTCTCTAATCAGGACACAGATCAATAGTATATTTCAGATAATCAGAAAACATAACATAATTGTCTAGTTTTGTGGCGTTGATCTACTTCTCTTCAGTCGAGCTAATTATATGTGGTTTCCTATGGTGTTTTAATAATGTGTGCAAATTACACTTAATCATTGGCAATTTAGGTCATCTTCGAATGGAGTTGTGCGGCTGCTACTACAGAGAGATGACAATTATCTGTTATTTAGGAAGATGTACCATAATAGCTGGCTCATTGTGACGCTGTGACCATGTTTGTGATCTTTAGGCGCAGCGGGGGAGCTCTTTTCTCCACAGACCTGTCCTTGGATTGTTGGACATCTCAAAAACCTGGTACAGAAAACAGTTGGTCACCTTCCCATATCGTGGACACAATCCCCTTTGATATTATTTTTTGATGTAAACTTTTTCAAAACACTCATCACAACCAGCAATTTTTCTCTGTACAATTGCAATCCAAAAACCACTATGCTCACAGTCAGTCGATCACAAAATACCTTTTACATTGTCTATGGTTTTAGTGGACGTTTGTTGCATGTTGAATCCTTTGGAAAAATTGTTTCAGAATTTCACAAGAAGTATATTTCTTAATTCACGGATCACTTATAAAATAGAAAATTTAGATAAACATCGATATCTTTTTGAAAACTAATACATTATTGATTCAGAAACAGGCCTCACTTTTTTATATTTATTTAGTTTAAAGTAGTTCAATGTTATATTCTTTAGATAAAATGTTTTTTTAATATTCTGTACAAGTCAGAGACCCACACATTGCAAACAAAAAGCATGAGGAGATTTTTTATTTAAACTATTCTTCAATAAAAGAACATTAGGCTATGAGACAAAAGCCGTAGTCTTCTTGAGATCTCATACTCGACGTTGTTTCTTTTGTTGTGCACACAGAAAATATATTTGTTCCACAGATACTGCGGATGAATTGAAATAAATCTAAATGCATGAATGATTTTGTAATCTGTCGGCAAATCAACATTTCTGTGACACCCTTTGAGACGATAGCTGTTGTGATTTTGGGCAATAAAAATATTAGTTCATTTGAATGTTTTATTTGATCTGATTGATTGGAAGTTTTGGTGCACTTGGATAAAGTGTGGTGTACAATTACTGAATTAATTTATAAATTGATCAAATAATCTTACTATAACAGTGGCAACATTTGTAATGTCGCCAGCGAGCAGCTAGAGGGCGCTAAAGAGCCAGAGACTTTGACCAAACAAACCAGCGCACACTTCCGGGCCATGCTCCACAGAGAAGAATAGTCTGAGTGCTGCGGGTACCTTTCTCAGCTCCATCACATATTCTATGAAAAAAGTGACGAGGAAAAGTGTCCAAAAACTATGAACTACTCCGACTACGACTCTGACGGATACTCGTCTAATGAAGACGCAGATTACGTCCCCTCAGGTGCTCTGTTTGTCTGTAGCTACGAGCTAACTCCTGCTGCCCATTCGTCTTATGACTATATTCTTTAAAGCTGGGGTACTTTACTTTCAAACCCTAACTAATTTAACTTATAAAATCCATATAAACTCCTCATAGTTTGGTTCAATCATTAGTTTTCACATGCATGTATTTTTGAAACATCTGTCACATATTTAGATCAGTTTCTTCAGACAAAGTCAAAAAGAGAGAACCCCCTAAAGCCAATCAGCTCGTAGCCCAAAGCGCTAAATAGTGACTATCAGGGCTTTTCCGTATATTTAAGTAAATTATACATATGTGTGTGTGTGTATATAGATAGTGTGTGTGTTCTAATACAACATTAAACAATATGCCATAATGGCAGTGTTTATAATTTCTTCATTGTGTAGTTTTCATCACAGCTGTAGGGTAACATGTATACCGTACATACTGTTTTATTCATTGTAGTCGTCAGAATTGGCTTAGCACTTGAATAAAGTAAGAGCTAGTAGTAAAGTAATAAAGGAATTAATTCATATTTTGTCTTTGTTATGTTTTGTAGATGGAAGCCTTAGTGAAGATGATATAAATGAATGTGAGAAAGAAGATCCCCTGAACGAGGATGATGAGGTGCCACATCCTGACGGTGTTCAAAAGGGCAAAAAGAAAAAGAAGGACAAGACGCTGAGGTATGTGATCTGTGTATGCATGCCTTCCTGCACCCAGATGGTGATTGGTGATTAAGATCATCTCCAAAATGGAATCAGTTCACTCGATCATTGAGCAGGTTTTCTGTAAGTTTCGTCTAAAACTCAAATATTTTTTTAAGTTAACAGACAACCGTAGGTTTACCTCCTGAGCGCAGGTATTAACAGAAGAAGTTATGAAAATTACGGGAAGCCAGGTCGCGGTATAAAACGGGTCAGGGCTCATGTTGCAATTCTTGTAATTTATCAGTGGTTACTATTCCTTTACCCTTCACTCAGTGTTTTGCATCAGGTTCTAGATTTAGGCACATCTAGTTTTAGGCACATCAAAATCCTTTACCTGATGTAATAACATGTTCAAGAATAGAAATGTTTCATCAGTATAACAATTCTATTTTTTTTTTTCCATACACTTTTTATTTGACGGATGCTTTTAATTATTTTGCCACTGGATATTGTTTTCCAGTTTTCCTTGCTGACAAGATTTGCTTTAAGAACTGAGGATTCTGGGACATTTTACATTTACTCATAAACCTTATCCAATTAACGTTAGGTAATCTTATTGTCTTAATGAACCAATGAATCTTCTATTTGTTTTATTGTTTGGTTTTCCAATCTGTTTAATTTGCAATGTATGATTGATTTTCAAATCTTTCGGCAAAGTCACAATTCTGTGACAACCTTTGAGACAGTACAAAAAAACCTGAATAACTAGAAATAATCGTTATTTGAAAAATAAAATAAAAACACAAAAAGTTTCAACTATCTACTAAAATAATACACATAAAATAAACAGTTAAAATATGAAACACTACTGCACTTTGTGTGCTTACGGTTGTGATATGAATGGTTTGGTTTCTCTTGTTTTGACCACATAGCCGAAAGAGGAAAAAGGGGATTTTTAAAGTGGAAGACAAAGATAAAGTTGAAGAGCCCGATCAACCTTCAAATGAAGAAACGCCCCGTCAGCTGCGGCAGGAGGAAGAGGAGGTCAAACAGAAGAAAAAGTCAGACGACCTCTGGGCTAGTTTTCTGTCTGATGTTGGTTCTAGGCCAAAACAGAGCACAGCAGCCACGGACTCCGCCGCCACTCCCAAGGTGAACTCTTAAGTCCCCGTTCTGTGAGACATGTTATAGATGTGAATAATGGCTTTACACTTTCATAGTTATACTCCATAATAAATGTATTGATCATTATCCAGATTAAGTATACCCTGTTGCATTTGTGTCCAGTCAATTTTGTTCTAACCTGTAGCTTCACTGTGACCTCTTTTAACTATTTTCTTTCTTCTATCTAAGGATGACAGTCAGTCCCTCACAGTCACAACAGAGTCCCCAAAAATAGCAACAAAATCCCCTGAACCTGCAAAAGTCACCATAACACAAGTGTTTGATTTCGCTGGGGAAGAAGTCAGGTAAATCATTTCACTTTTTGCATTGTATAACTTCATCCAGTAGGTGGCACCACAAACCAATATTTCTGCTTGAATAAGTACAGTCGTGATGCTTTTAACCCTTTAAGGATCACCTAATTTCGCCTGCTCCTTCTCGAATTATGATACCCAAATGGAAATGCTTATTGTGTGGACATCTTGTGTCTGATTTTTTGTTATGATGCCTCATTTGAAAGGTAACACCTTCTAGTTTCTGAAAATGTATGTTACAGTTTGTTAGAAAGGACACAGTCTGCACTACAGCTTCTCAAACATGAGTCAAAGTTATTTTTTTTTGTCTCGAAAAAAAAAGGCAATTTCAAAAGGTTCTCCTGAAGACATACTTTATGGTATGATGTTCGAACTCACCAGAGCAGATGTTTGTGGTGTTGGAAACACCTGTATGAAATTTTAGACCTTTAGGTGGAACTATTTTGATGCTGGGGGCTTTTTTGTAACTAATGGGCACATTCGGCACAAGTGGTCCATTTTTGTGCCAACTGTGCAAAAGTGTTTTACATGCAAATTATCAATGTTTTTACACCAAAAATCCATTTATATAATTTTTTGGCTATTACTCTTGCTATAAATAGCATTTTTTCCAGATATTGAAATGTTTGCAGAAAAGCTATTATTTATATAGTTATAGCGCGTGTTCTCCGTGAAAAAGGCTCCGTCTTCCTCTTTACGCATTCAAATATGACGGGAACAGTGGGAGGAAGCTAGAAGTCCGACACATCGCCTGAAACCTGAGATTATTGGCTACAAGATGATTTGATTGACATCCAAATCGGCCAATGGTAGTCAAGACAATGCTGTCATGACGCACAGATATCTATGTGAATGGAGCGCTAAATCTAGGTGCGCTTGTTTTACTCAACTTACTCTACCTTCCAAACCATAGCACTGAAAAGTCCGGGAATGGGCTTGTTTTGAAGGGAAGACTGAGAGGAAGACGAACATACCCAGTGAAGCTAGCTAAACAGTAAAATGTCCTCTTCATACAGTGCGCAAAGAACAGGTTTTGTTTTTGTTTGTGCAACTTTCAATACTCAAATATGTTGTTGCAAGTGGATATCTACTATAAGGATGACTTTGAAGAAAAAACAACTGGATATAATTATTCTCTAGACCAGGGGTGCCCAAACCTTTTGCTTCCAAGGGCCAAAGTAAAAATTTGCCAGTCGGCCGCGGGCCAAATACATCGATATTATGCATGAAACACAAATAAATGTAGATTTGATCAAGTTCTTTTAAATGCATTAATTATTGTCTATCAGTGCAAATCACAGCTGAATGAATGAAATCAACACAGTCTTAGTGAAGTGGAGGCTCCTGGGAAATATGCAGGTTTGAGGAGACTACAGTACGGAAAGATTCCGGCCGGGTAATCAGGGTCCAGAGGAGGGAGATTATCTGTCATGGCTTATTTAAAGGTTAAAATCATATAATAAAACCTCAAAAAGAGAACAGAAACATACATTTTGTGTGCACCATGTGCACTTGTATATTGTAAATAGTAACTGTAACTCTATTTTAAATTTAAATTTATTCCTTAGAAGTGTTTTTTATTCTTTATTTTTATTATCTCTGTTGCACTGAGCCAAAGCAATTTACAAGTCTATATTCATATATTTATTTTGAACAAAAGTTTTTAACTACATTTGAATCATATTACTTTATCTTAGTTTTATCAAAAAGGGGAGACATCACTGATCAATAGATCTGGTTTTAGCACACTTTTAAACAATACATTTTAACATTAAGTAATGAATTTGGGAACATAATTGCTAACTGCATTTTCTAAACATGATCAGGTTTTAACTCTGTTTTAACTTAATATTTTTAACATAGGACAAGTATTCTCAATTAGTAGTGAACTGAATATTAAACTAACAAAATCAGACTAGTTAACCATGATTTGTTCCTGGAGTTTTGTTTTGTTTTGCCTAAACACAGTACAACATTTATAAACAATCAAAACAAAGTAACTGTTAAAGAGTCCGAGTTTCCGCTCCTCCAAAGGGCTCTTGAACGCATCATAAAACTCAGCGTAAGTTCTGACATTCAATGATCGAGTGAGGACGGCGCTTACCGGCTTCTTTCATGGGGCTGTAGAAGGGTTTGTTTTGCACAGTATTTGTTGCTTCTACTTGCGTGGATCGTGCGCTGCGATCCCTACTTGCCCTGCTTGAACTCACTGTGTTTGTGTCCGTCCTTTTTAACACACCGGGTGGGTGCGGATTGCGCGGGCGAATAGTTCCACTCGCCATTTCCCTCCGGTGAGGAAGGGGAGTGGCAGTTCACCAGCACAATCCTCTCAATTTGATAAAACATTAAATAGCTCCAAAAAATAATACTAGTAGGCTGAAAAAAAAGAACATAAAGGGGCCTTGCACCCAATTGTTTTGAAAGATGTGTTTGATTTTAAAAAACATTTTAGTGCAAGTAGATGTGAACCATGAGTGAGGAGTGTATCTCGATAAGTACTGGACAGTCGGAATTCAGAGGGCGACTATGCGCTCGCGCGACCTCAGACATGTCACTGTTTGTTCAGCGAGGCTGAGGGACGCAGATAGAAACTTATAGCGGAGGTGGGCAATGTTAGGCGGGCCAACTGAAATGGTCTGGCGGGCCAACTTTGGCCCGCGGGCCCCACTTTGGGCACCCCTGCTCTAGACCCTAACGAACAAAACAAATGCACACATGTGTGGATTAGACGTGATTTGCCCCAGAATATTAGCATGACAAGGTAAGAAACGACAATATATATTTTAAACATATATACAGTTTGACTACTTATTCTTACTTTTGGTTATATTTAATGTTTATTTGAACATAATACGTGTATAGAGGTGGGAATAAGCTTTCAAAAGAGATATAGCTTGACTATATTGACACAAGTGAATTCTAATACTGATGCTGTTAAATGAAAAATAACTAAATCCTCCCTGTACAGGGAGGGTGATCCTTAAGAGGTCCCATTAGCAGTAGGGGTTTCCAGGCTATATTTTTTTAAGACTCTGAAACAGTATCGGACAATATTTAGTATCAGTAGAATTCCAAATACCCAAATTTCTCCTGGATCTGAAAGCCCCTACATTGTCACAATATAGACACCATTGAGTTTGATACAAGTTATTCAGGTTTCTCAGCAAAAAAGACATTGATTTTGATATGCTTAGACGAGTCAAAATCGTCTTACGTTTTTCAAAATGTAATGTGTAAAATTGCGGTTGCTTTTCCTTTTGCATAAATGACCAAAACTATATTCTGTAATTGGACTGTAATTATAAAGTCCAAAATATGTCCCTGGCCTGAACAATCTAATTATACGTATGCGCGATGTACCACCCTCTCTCTCTCTGGATGGATGGGACTAGACTCGAGTATTGAGTCTCACAAAGGCAAGTTTATTTGTATAATGCAATTTTTACACCAGGCATAAATAATCACAGTACATTTGTGCAAAGGAGATCTTCTGGTTGTATGCACAGGTCAAGAGCCAAACAAGGTGACGGTTGTTTTTTCCTGTAACTGCTCACATGAACCGCCATCTCCAGACAAACACGATGTGGCTTTCTCATATTGTCACTGTGAACGGCATTTCATGAATGTCCCGATCTATGCGGTGTGGCTTTTTACGATTTTGTCCACAAACCAATCCTATTCACTATCTCTGGGTTTTATTGGCTGCTAAAACAAGAAGCCTTTCCAAGGATAATTTAAAACGGTCTATCGTATCCTTGGCTTGTAAGATATGTGTCTTTGAAACCACACTCGGCCTTTTTAAACACCCTTGCCATCTCATCATCCGTGCAGTAATTATGACTGCATATAATTAGCACTGATAACAAGCCTCTGAGTTGTGCCGTGATGGATGCCAGTAAAGAGCGTATTCCCCAAAGGCTACAGCGGCTATTTCTCCCAAGCCACAGAGAATAGTGGCGGCACGGTGCCGGTGGCAAGAAAGTCCTGGGTTTAATTCCACCTCCAGGCGGCCTTTCTGTGTCGAGTTTGATTCTTCCTGTGTCTGCGTAGTGCGTACGTTTCCTCCGGGTGCTCCGGTTTTCCCCTACCCCCTACCACAAAATCTGATTTAATGATGTTCAGGCCACTATAGGCTTTATTGGATCATTCTTTTGTCTTGGTATAGACTAGGGATGTAAATTGGCGACCGTTTAACCGGTGGTTGACCGTCACAGCGTTAACCGGTCAAAGCTGTCGGTTAAAAAAGAGAAAAAGGGGAGAGGGGAGGTCTCTTAATAACGCTATTTTAAGCCCTATTTGCACGGTGTGACGAGCGGGTCTGTATCTAGCTGTGTGCGCCCATGTATTATAAACTCCGGGACGACTCTCACGCCGCACGAGCCACATATGCACACACACGCGCGCACACACACACAAGCACACGCGCACACACACACACACACACTTTCCCCCTCTCCATACGTAACATCCACACGCATCATCTCTCCCCTCTGTTACCGTCAAAGTTGCACACTGGCGCGGGTCAGAACTACATTGGAGCTTACATTTACACACACACACATACACACACACACACACACACATACACACATACATACCGGTCTGTCGCGCTCCTCTGTGTCACGGAGCCCAAAGGATTCGCGCAAATACGCGGCTCCAGTCAAACCACATGGACCATGTTTGTGTTTATGGTCCTCGGGATCAGCTCCACACACATCACTTGTATTTAAACTTTTGTGAAGACCTGTGAGACGCGGCTCGTCACTCGCTGCTCTGACCATGTGAACGAGCCGTCGTTTGCTGCTAGAAAGTTTTGGTATTAACCCGCAGCACAGCAGAATGGGAAGATTAAAAAAGCAGTTCTCTGTGCGCAAAGGTGCCGAAGCTGTTGCGGGTTTGGGCGACGCTGTCTCAACTCTGATTCAGTAGAACGCTCAGCTGCACTTATGAAAAGTACGTGGCTCGAAATGGCTGTTATTTCAAAGAACGTGGACTATTTTAAACTACGCGGTTAACCGGTTTCAACCGGTTAATGAGGCTCGGTGGTCGGTCATGAACATTCATAGTTTTTTACATCCCTAGTATAGACCACTATATTCAAATCGGTTGCCGGCCCAGGTGCTCATATGCGTGAAAATGGTTCATTTTCACCTCACCAAGAGCTTTTTGTTTGTGATATATAATTTTAAAAAATTCTAGATAATAATGGAAAAGAGTTCCTTGCTGTCAGCTTGGTTGCTTGTTTAATCAAATTGAAGTGTCAAATAATGACAAAAACAGAGTTTTTTTCTTACAAGTAGCAAAAGATGAAAGCAGAATGTTGTGGTCTGATTTGAAAGTTTAACAGTTTGTTGACATAAATGTACATGTAATATTAATATAACAAAAAGTTACAGACCCCAGCTTTAACACACAGCAATATTTAGAACCAATAAGCAAGGAAGCAACACACAATGAATAGCTCTAGTCTTATAATAACACTAATATATATATATATATATATATATATATATATATATATATATATATATAAAACTACAGTACATACGTACGTATATGTGTGTGTGTGTGTGTAATAACACTTGACTATAGTTCATGCATTGCTTCCATCTTTGTGCTTTACAGGGTGAACAAAGAGGTGGCAGCAGACTCTCGAGAAGCCAAGAGTTTCTTAAAAAGTCAGACATCTGCAGAGGAGAACAAAGAAACAAATGAGAGTTCTTTAAGAGAGAGTTCATCTACTGCTTCAAGGTAAAACTACCTGGGAACAAAAAAGCTTTTTGAATATTTAAGGCATTCTAGCATATAGGCACCACAATTTCTTTAATATATCACTGTTATTCAAACAAAATGACAATAAGGGTAACTATGCCAGGAATCCCAACATTGTGAAGGAAAAGACCTGTGTTTGTGTTTTTCTGCACATTGTGCCCGTACGGTCTATTCTTGTGACAGCAAATAGTTGAGGAATGTGCGCAACTGGCCTCAAAATCCCTGAACAGGATGAAGGAAGTCATCTTCCCTCAGACGGGAAGCAAAATACGTCCACAAGTCATTTCCTATTCATCACAATGGACAGAGTGAAGGGCTGGGAGGGAGTTGTCCTCACAACAGATAATGTTTTTATCAGCACTAATCTTGTCTGTCTCTAAACTGTAGTAAAGAAAAGTACAGTAGCCCTGTGAAGTACAAACACATGTGCCTCAAAATGTCTTCTTCTGATGTTTGTTATGTATTGAATGTGACACTGAGGAACCTGGAGTTCACAGAGTGACAGGGGTCGGCATACAGAAATACACAAGTCTAAAAATAAGCTACATTTCTGCCTAAATGTCGTCGGAGCTTTAGAGATTTAAGACCTCTGTGGGAACAGCAAATCACAAATGTACAATACAATAATTCAAATGTTGCCTATTACGTCTTTTGCTTGGTAAAATGCAACAGTAGACATTATGTCCCTATAAAAGTTGGTTATGTGCGTGTCTTTGTTAGCGGTGTGAAAAGAGCACCGGGTTTATCTGGAATTTTGGGTCGCATTGGAGGCAAGAAGCAGAAGATGAGCACACTAGAAAAATCCAAGATGGATTGGGATGCGTTCAAATCCGAGGAAGGCATCAGTGAAGAGCTGGCTATCCACAACAGAGGCCGAGAGGGGTAAGACTGATTCTTTGTGCCTATTACAAGACACCATCCAGTGAACCATTTATTACCAGCAAAAGCGGATGACCCCTAAATATTCAGAGAAGGAAAAATGCATAATTCAGATTCTGAATACAAGGAGTGATGTGAAAAAGGCATGAGCAGATGGGAACGGAGTTGCCCAGGGGAAATAACACCAGCCTGTTGGCTTCATTGTCATTCAGCGCTCAACAAGCTATTTCTACATACTCATAGGCCACCACTTATAACATACAGTTTTCTTTAACACATTTGTAACCATTAAAGATCCACACTCTTAAAGAGCCTGTGCCTGGTTTTTTGTCCATATATGTTTTTGGTATGTGTTTTAACCAAGTGCAGATATGTCTTTGTTTATATCAGGTAAGTTAGTGTGAGTAAGTCTGACTAATATCTCGAGCTTCATTTGATCTTTAATATTAGGAGCTTGAATGCATGAGAAGGCCTTCGCCATATCCACAGCGAGCTGTGATATCTGTTAATAACCCTCATGAAAACAGTGTTTGTCATATTTTAGAAAGAAGAACTCATCAGAACTCATGAGAACTCTCATGATGTTCTCTTTTTGTATTTTTGAGCATACAGTTTATAAATGCTAAAATAACTATTATGTCTTTCTTGTGTCTCACAGCTATGTGGAGCGAAAGAACTTCTTGGAGCGCGTTGACCATCGACAGTTTGAGAAAGAAAAAACAGTCCGGCTGAGCAACATGAAACAATGACACATGTGGACAGTGACATCAGAGGCCTGCTGTCCTGAAGAGGCTCCGGACCCTGAACATTTTTGTCTCGTGTTTTTACAGAGTTCTGCATCTTTGCACTGAAACGGATTTTTGTTTTTTTGGTTGACTTCATAAGTCAATATCAAAATAGCAGTTAGTAATTCTGTCAAATGCACATACAGTACATACTTCTTATACTTACAGTACATACTTCTTATACCAAGTCCTCAGCCCATTTTTGCCCGAAACATGAACGGTAAACTATTGTTTTGCTATTATAATCGTGTGGTAGTTGTATTAAAACTATTTGTATGGTCACAATATTAGTGCAATTTTATTGTTTTTTGGCCTAGTTTTGTAAATCCTGAGTTATTTTACCAATAAGAACATCTACAGAACAGAAGAGCGTGTCAGTATCTGTCACCAACTGCTAGATTTTTCTTAATATTTCACTGTTCATGGAACACATGAGTGACTTCTCTCCTGTCTCATTAACCCACAATGCAAAAATAATTCTGAATACAGTGATCTGTTTGAACCATGCAAAGTATAATGTCACAACATACATGTTCCCCTATTGTTCAAATACTCAAATACCTGTCACTGTCTGTGGACAACGTTACTCTTATTTATTTACTTGTGTCCGAATCAGGTGTATTCTTTGAAGATTTACAGAGTCGCCGACAAACCAGAATACAAATCTTTCCATTCTCTTCTGGTTTGGATTTTCCTCTATAAGCTCTGATTGACCGAAAATATCAATTTCCTTCCTTACTTCTTGAAAACTGCGCGCAACAAAGGGCGCATTCGTACGTGAAGATTGATCCTCTGCGGTGTATTACACCTTTAACAGGCGCCTGGCTCAGATTGAACTGTGGCTGTCAACACGCACCATGGTCGCATTAGGAATGCCGAGAGGGTCCCTTTAAGGCGGACTGGCGCCTGGGGAGGACCGCGGCACAAGCGCCTCCTGTTAATAAGATCTACAGACAGCGGGTTATAGCGACCGAGACAGCGTGGGGCTTTGGGGGCGAACCCACCCCCTAAATGCGTTTGTTTGGGCTTTAGTAAACACTCGAAGAACAATTTTCTGACGAAGGCAAAAGGAGGAGCGTCGGAGCAGAGCGCGGAGGGAGGAAGCAGCCACCGGCCTCTCCACGCACTGCAGAGCCGGAGGACCGTGATTCCTCTCCCGCATGTCTACATCCTCTCTACGGCGCTGAGCATGGCGTGGAGGACCACGGGCTGACAGAAGCTCCACAGAAGATCATCTCTAACACTATTCTGTCCAGGAACATCCACGCGTGTGGAAGCAGCTGCGGAAGGAGCTGCAAAATGTCTGTCCCCGTGAGTATTCCCGCCCCGAGGCTAAACACACAGTATGCCAGCCACAGGGCCCTTTACACGCACTGTGCATGTTAAGTCTGCGCACACACTTACTACAGTCCGTCCAGGACCAGTGCGTGTAGATTACAGGAGGTCTGCTCCGTGCGCGGCTTGCTACACACCCAGTTCAGAGGCTCTGGCACTTGGCACAGGATGCCAACTTTCACAAAGTCTCGTCTCGTTACGCAGCGCTCATGGAGAGGATTTGGTCAGGATAGGGGCAGCTGTGGACAGTGTGTTGCCAGTGAGCCTAAACACTGCCCTTGTCGTTCCGTGGTCTAAGTGTCTGCCACATGCCTGCTCCTTAGTGAAGCGGTCACTGAGGCGGAGGTGCCGAGCTATTCTGGTCGGGCCTGGCCTGTCAGCGCACGGAGACAGCTGTTTGCGCCTGTATAAGTGCCTCAGGTGGTGGAGAGCAGGGCTGGATGGAGCTTGTTGGGCTGCTCTTCAGTGCATTCCTGAGGATGTGTTTCATCACAGGCCTGTGTGTCTCATTTTTATCACTCCTAAAGGCCAATATCTACCAGGGAATTGGTGACTTTCACAATAAGATGTGCAATAACCTATTTATTGGACAGTTTAAACACGTCAATGTTTGCTAATTAAAGTTTACTAAGTGTGATGTCAGATCATGCATTTATCTGTTTGAACATCTAGGATGAAACCATGATAATAGTATTATACAATGTATATGATTGTATATAGTGTTATACTTTAGTTATTACAATAAACACGCCACATATTAACTAAAGATGCTCTAGAATATAGGAGACAAATGTGTGTCCTGCACAGTCTTATGATCCTTAGAAGAAATAAAACTGAAACGTGAATTTGCTCCAGTCACTCTTGTGGAGGCACAGGGCTGAGCCACAGTTTGACCTCTGGCCTGCTCATGATGGATCTTGTTGGGGCTGATTGAAAGTGTGCTGGGAGCAGCAGGATGCAGTGAGAGGTGCACAAGGAGAAGGTGAAGGTGACAAAGGCGATGTACTGCGTTTGGCTTACTGAGTTGAGACCTTGAGACATTCTGACGGTGGCAAAAGTTAAAAGGAAATGTCCTTTTACAGATGGAATTTGTTCATTCTGGGTTTTCACATACACAATATTGGATATATTTTTGAATGCACCACTTTGATTTGACCAAGTACAGTACTTGTTTGTTTACCTTTCTCTTCAACCAAGCCACATAATGACACTGTTGGTCAGACTATGTCCAATCCTCACTTACTGTGTTTCAACCATATCATGGCTGGACTGATGTATGAGTTAATTGCTTTAGCTTTGTGACAGTGGTGATGCATGCGTCCAAGCCAGCAGAGAAACATATTGTAGGTCTTTTGAACTGACTTTCCAGAACCTTGAAGCTAGAAGCAATGCCACTTAAGAACTTGGACAGCTCACCTATCCCATTTCGCCCATTCCTCTCATCTCATCATTCAGGCGAGGGCTTTTATCCTACACATATAGCATCTAATCCCCCTGTCTCCAACTCTTGCACATATACACAGTGCAAAGTGCTCCGAAAAGCCTTTGTGGGGAGTAAATTGCTTGGCCTCTCAGTTCACAGCCAATTGACAGCATGGCAGCTGGACAGATTAAATGTGCAGCTTCCATATTGTGGCAAGGCAAGGCAAGGCAAGGCAAGTTTATTTATATAGCACAATTCATACACAAGGCAATTCAAAGTGCTGAACAAAACAAGAAAGCATTAAAATCATAAATAATCACAGAACATTAAAAAGAAAGATACAAATATAAAATCCCTCAGTTGTATGCACAGCTAAACAGAACTGTCTTTAACCTGGTTTTAAACATTGTCAGAGAGGAGGCCTGTCCATACATCTCCAGGAAGACTGTTCCAGATTTTAGCAGCATGAATCTGAAAAGCAGCCTCCCCATGTTTAGTTCTGACTCTGGGCACTAACAGGAGTCCAGTCCCTGTGCTCCTCAGAGTCCGGGCTGGTTCATATGGGACTAACATGTCACTAATATATTTTGGTGCGAGGCCATGGAGAGACTTGTACACAAGCAGAGCTGTTTTAAAGTCTATTCTCTGAGCCACAGGAAGCCAGTGCAGAGACCTGAGGACCGGACTAATATGGTCGTACTTCCTGGTTCTAGTCAGGACTCGAGCTGCTGCATTTTGAATGTACTGCAGCTGTTTTACAGCCTGTTTGGACAGACCTGTGAGCAGGCCATTGCAGTAGTCTAACCTACTGGAGACAAATGCATGGATAAGAATCTCCAAGTCTGCTTTAGACACTATGTTTTTGATCCTGGCAATGTTTTTTAGATGGTAAAAAGCTGCTGATGTTACTGATTTGATGTGGCTATTAAAATTTAAGTCTGAGTCCAGTATTACCCCTAGATTTCTGACCTTGTTTGAAGGTTTTAGGGAGAGAGACTGTAGGTGACAGATGACGCTCTCTCTTTGTTTCTGGGGACCAAAGACAATCATTTCAGTTTTGTCTGCGTTTAGCTGAAGGAAGTTGTTTTGCATCCACTCACTGATCTGTTGGATACAGTGAAGGAGTGAGTCCACTGGTCCATGTTCTCCTGCAGTCAGTGAGACATAGATCTGAGTGTCGTCTGCATAGTTATGATAGGAAACTTTGTTTCTGCGTATTAACTGACCTAACGGCAGCATGTAGAGATTGAACAGAAGAGGTCCCAGGATCGACCCCTGTGGGACTCCACAGGTCAGGGCCATATGATCTGAGACACAGTTTCCAATCTCCACAAAGTACTTCCTGTCCTCAAGGTAAGACCTAAACCAACTTAGGGCGGTGCCAGCGACTCCAACCCAGTCCTCTAATCTCTGTAAGAGGATCTCATGGTCGACGGTGTCAAAGGCAGCACTTAGATCTAACAAGATTAAGATTGAGACTTTGCCTGCGTCAGTGTTCAGCCGGATATCGTTTGTAACCTTGACGAGAGCAGTCTCAGTGCTGTGGTGGGGTCTAAAGCCGGACTGAAACATATCAAATGAGTTGTTGATTATAAGAAATCTAGTAAGCTGTAGGTAGACAACTTTTTCAAGGACTTTCCCCATAAATGGCAGATTTGAGATGGGACGATAGTTGTTAAGTACCGTAGCATCGAGACTGCTCTTTTTTAGCAGGGGCCTGATGACTGCAGTTTTCAGGGCCTTTGGGAATATTCCAGAATGAAGGGACATGTTTACTATCTGTGTGAGTGAAGGTAACAGACTGCTCAGAACAGACTTCAGAAATCTAGTGGGTAGTACATCCAAGCTGCATGTGGAGGAGCTCAAACTGGAGATTATCTCTTGGACAGTTTTATCATTTACAGGTGCAAAGTGAGTTAGCTCAGAGAGCCTTTCTGGCTGTTGGATGGTTATCTGTGGATTGGAGACAATGGCGTTTTTGATGCCTTGAACCTTGTCATTGAAAAAATTAGCAAACTCATTGCATTTACGTTTGGAAGTAAGCTCTAATGGCATTTGAACAGGGGGGTTTGTTAATCTATTAACTGTTGAAAACAGAACACGCAGATTGTTGCTGCAGCCTTCAATCATTTCAGAAAAATACCTTTCTCTCGTACTACGTAGCACCCGGTTAAACTCGCACAACTTATCTTTGAAGATCTCGTAATCAACCTGGAGGTTGGACTTGCGCCACTTCCGCTCGGCCCTCCGGCACTTTCTCTTTTGTGCCCTGACCGAGTCTGCTTTAGCCCACGGCGCCTTCTGCTTATTTTTCACTATTTTAACCTTCACAGGGGCAACGGTATCCAGAACATTCAAAACACTAGAGGTGACAGAGTTAAACAGTTCATCTACAGTAGAATACGATGCATTCTCAAAGTTTATCATTCCCATAAATAGTTCACTCGTATTTTCATTTATGTGTCTTCTTCGTACAGTTGCAGAGTCCACTGGTGGTTTGTTAGTGAAACACATGTCAAAAAAAACACAGAAATGATCCGAAAGAGCAACATCGACCACGTTTACATTTGAAATATTCACCCCCTTAGTAACTAACAGATCTAGAGTGTGCCCTCTGCTGTGGGTGGGGCCACTTACGTGCTGAGTGAGATCAAAGGATTCAAGTACAGAACTCAGCTCATTTGCATTTCTGTCATCAACATTATCCACATGAATATTAAAATCACCTGTAATAACCAAACTATCAAAATCTGTGCATACAACTGAAAGCAACTCGGTAAAATTATCAATAAAACTGTGACATGACTGCGGTGGCTTGTATAGGACAACGAAAAGTATTGGAGGAGATTGTTTTTGTTGTATTTTAAAAGACACATATTCAAAAGACGAAAACTTCCCAAGGGACATTCTATGGGAGACAAAGTGGTCTCTGAAAAAGGCAGCTAAGCCTCCTCCTTTTTTGTTTTCCCGTATTTCAGATTCAAACTTGAAATTTGGTGGTGATGCTTCTATTAAAACTGCATTTCCTGAATTTTGGTCAAGCCAAGTTTCAGCCATGAACATAAGATCAAGATTATGAGAACAAATAAAATTATTGATTAAAAAAGACTTGTTACAAAGAGATCTGACATTAAGCGTAGCAAGTTTCAAAGTTTCAGTATCAGCGGTTGTGGTCGGCTGATTCTTACACGGAACAAGAATTAGATTTTCCAGATTAGACTTATTAACTCCAGATGTCTTTCTGTAATGTATTCTTTGTGTTATCACTAAGGGAATGGCACAGGTGGCTTCATGACAGGGCCCCAGCCGGGTCTCTCCTCTAACTAGACTGCCAGTGGCTGCGAAGCAGAGACCCTGTGCATCCTAGTGTTTAGAGAAAAGAGGGGAAGGGGAAGGCGGGGGAGGAGGATGGAGAGGTGGGTGGCTTTTGGGTGTTGAACGAGGGGGGCAGGGAG